TTCATCGGTATATGATTTCAATAAAACTTAACGATTTTCACAACCCTATACTGACAATGTAAATGTTGATTAATTCATAGATTAGAATAATTAGCATTGCGAAGGTTAATTAACAACTAACACTTCAATGTGTAAAATCACCTGATATCAATCAGTTAACACATAATTTAGGTCATTGAAACTATGGTTGTGGAATTATTGTTGTTGTTTTTTTCCTTTCTCGAATCTACCACATTTTTAAAATTTGTTTAAAATAAAAACGATTGAAACAAATACATTGTAGCGATCAGTCGACCAGTGATAGCTCAATCAATTCGACTTATTCGACTTTTAATCATATTGCACCGCAGATTCGAACCCTCATCCTATATAGATTGATTTAATTACTAGTAATACTCTTAATCTCTCTACTACTCGAGGATTTCGTGCCACTGTGCTGATTGGGATTATGGCAACTTGGACTCACATACATACGTATCAGGTTTTACGTCGTAACTAACTGACCGATTAAAAATATTTCGTTTCAAACAATCATCTTTGGTAAAGAGGTGTGAAAAAATTCACCGTTCTTGCGAAATAATAGATTATTGATTTGATAGTGATGTGACCGAGAGTGGAGAGACTCCGCTCTCTCTCGAAATGCTCCCACATGACCACGCGTATATAGGAACTCCCAGGTTTTTCGCCTCATAGTGGCAGAGTGCTATTTACGAAATTGAAAAAAGGAAAAGCGAGTGTACGGTGCTTTGATTGAGTTGGTGAGTATGGAGGATCCACTTAGGAGAGCTGGAAAGCCCTGATCCCAAACCAACGATACGCATCGGCCCCATGATCTTGAGGGGACGAATGGCGTATCAATCTATTGTTGATTATCGGTTATCATGGGGCAGCTGGATATGCTGCCTTGTCGGTTGGACTTCTAGGTCAAATGTATTCCACAGGCACCCAGAAAGTACGAGGTCAACAAGCACGTTTTATGATAGCTTTATGAACATACACCACGTCTCGAACTATTTGAAATCGGTCCGATAATATTTACTTGCAAAAATTAAATGTATTGCTATCAAACACAATGTAAACGAAATTTCAGAACATTTAATCGCTATTAGCAGTAGTCGGAGAGGCTACGGTTCGAAGATATCATTCAAGAAGTACAATCTAGTGAAACAAACTTTTAAAGAAAAAGGTAAAGGTGATGAGGAATTCAGAAGATTAGGATTCGCGAAAATACAGAGAATGGATTCACCTGCGCCATTGCTAACGGTTTTGAGCCATGTCATTCAAGGTCTCTAACCATCGATTACTATCATCTCGCGAGCCCCAACCAGGTAGTCGACACTTTTTAACATGACTTAGTTTACTTGTCAGGAACTTCATGCATTTGTGCCATGTTTTGGTTTGGCCGCCCCTAACCTTCTTCCAACCAATTCGTACATTGAAAAACATAGGTCGATGAGGCAGTCGGCGGTTATGCATACGTAATATATCTTCTAACCATCTCAACTGATGAAGTTTCAATACTTCATCTATTGAACTGCCATCCTTACCTAGTACTGTTTTCCTAACCTCAGAAGCGCTTATTCGACGGTTCCAGGATATGCGCGCAACGCTTCGAAGACTCGACTATCCTCCCTTCTTACTGGCCATGTTTCACACCCGTATAGTAGGACGGATCGAACTGCTGCGCAGCAGACTCGTCTGCCTGTAGACCCTTCGGGGTTACTGCCGGTCTCAAAGCCGGATAAAGGAGGGCTGGGCTTGGGGTTGGCGACCCCATCCTGCAAAAAGCTAAATCGCTAAAAATCGCTAACAAGTTTAACCAACAGGTTTAACTAACAAGTTTAAATATACAGCTCCCAAGCCAAGCACAAATCAACACTTCATAACTTGTTAGACTGAGATACTCCCAACGTCTCTATTCAAAGGGGAGAAATGACTTAGATTGTAGGACAAAATATGATCTAGCTTACTAACGATATTTTAGATCATCAAAGTAGGCCAATAGATTAAGGGACGGAGAATACAACACGAAAATGTATACTGTCATAGGAACTGACACGAATAACTTAGTAAAACTATGCAATATCACACAGAACAATGCAACCAAATCATGTGTATCATTTTTAAATACAGTCTTTGATAAGTACATTTAAGTGCTTTGCTTTCAATTATGATCATGTTCCTACCTTTAAAGTACGAAAATGAATACAGATCAGTTGGCTACGTTTGTTGCATAGAGCTTCCTGAGGTTAGAAAGTATTCGGATCCAGTTAAGTTCATTGCGTGATCTCTAAGATATTTTATTTAATTTTTACCACTGAGTTTGGTACTAATTAATTAGAGATTGTTAAGAGGAAGTTTTCAACCGAATTTTCTGACTTATTGATAAATATTGACATACCTATTTACTTTTAATGATGATTGTACACAAAGTATAACCAAAGTAAACTAACACTAACAGATAAATAAAATATTTCATAAATGCATCCCTTTTGATGACAAACAATTGTAAAAATATTAGTTATGAAAATCGAACATAGATAAACTTAAATAAAGACAATTTAAAATGCACCACTTCAGATAACAGATTAAAGGAAACACTAAATAGATTTAAAGTTGATTGAGAGAACAATACATTCTTTCTAAAAAGAAAAGATAACAATTGTAAATCAAACTAATATACCTGGATGCTTCTTCTTAGATGGATGCAAAGGAAAGTACTCTGTTGATTTATATAATAACCACTTTCTGTTCAATATATCTATAGATGCATCCTTATCAATATTCATGTGAATCAAAATAGTGAAACAAAGAAGCGAGTCTTAAGACTTTGAGAACGTAAATTATGTATAATGGAAAATGTCTAAGTATAAACAATTATGATTAATATAATCAATTGATTACGGAAGTCCTCATAATAGAAAATGTTAGAAAAGTGTAACATGGGAAAAGCTAGAACATTCACTTAACCAGTAACAAACATGGCAAAAACAAAATCGATGGATACCAACAAAAGAAACCATGTGATTATTAGCACATACATTAAAAAATGAATTTTTTTTCTTCTTCAACGATTATCTACGGTTTTGTGAGGTATGACAAGTTAGTTGAGTTGTTTTCGAAAATTAGTTCAGTATGCAAACAGTTATCAACTATGACTTTATGTCGTTTTTAAATGAAAAACTCAAAAGTTATTCATTATCAAGAATCTGTTCGAAATAAACAGAGATGCAGTATCAGTCGAAGAAATTTTAAGGCAAGATAAAAAATTCCTCAACACTTCTTATTTTCTTGTATAGTTTGTCTTATTCACAAAAAAAAACCTGAGCACAAATAAACTATGGACATTGACCGCATAAACTAGAACTAAAGGTGTATACTAATACATCGAAAACATATAATCTCCTAAATATGGTTATTTAGTAAGCAATCGGGAAATGAACAAAAGCTAATATCACGATAAAACGCAGACTTAAACATCACAGAACACAAAACGATCAGAAACTGAAAAGCAAAATGAATAAGCCTCAGTGAAACAACAATCGATCAATAAATAACGATAAAAGTAGTGACTACAATCTCGTTAAAAACCTTCCCTACAAATATCAACTTATATCTAAGACAGCAAAAACTTTCATGGGATAAAACGAATGGGTGAATACATTCTTAGTTTACTCACTAAATCAACAACTGAAAAGTTACGTATTTCAATTCAAGGAAACTATTTTAAAATGGGAAGTTACTTCACATCTTTACTACCCAAACATTTATTTGAGTAAGCCATTAGTTATTTTTTATATTGTATGGAATTTAAACTTTCCTATCTCTTCAATACATCAATCCATTTTGAAAACATATAAGGCGTAGTACTTAGATTCTCAGATTAAGAAATTAAGTTGGAAAATTGTTGCTTCCTATGTAGCCTTTTAATATCCATTGTAAAAAGAATATTCAATTTCATATTTAAAGGACAATAATCTTATGGATCTTGCGTTACCATTTTGCTGAATACAGAAAACCTATGTTACTACGATTCGTGAAGATGGAAGGTCAATTGGATTTTGCTGAATGGTGTCATTTATGGCGTAGGTGAGATATCCGTTTGCTAACCAAAGAACGAGTGTTCTGCGCAGTAGTTTGCTCCGTTCTACTATATGGATGCGAAAAATCGCCAGTCATAGAAGAAGACATTCGTAGGTCACTGGTTTTCGATCATAGGTGTCTCCGAAGCATTGCTCGTATATCCTGGGACCATCGAGTAAGCAATGCTGAGGTTACGAAAAAATACTACGTAAGGATGGTAAATCAATTGATGAAATGGTGAAACTTTATCAATCGAGGTGGCTGGGACATATGTTACGAATGCCCAATCGCCGAATGCCTCAACGATCCAAGTTTTGTGGTGTAGGGGGAAGGTTGGAAGAAAGCTAGGGGCGGTCAGAACCAAACATGACACAAACCCATGAAGTCATTGACAAGTGGACTAAGTGATGTTGGTAGGTGTAGACTATCAGGTTGGGGTCCAGGAGACGATAGTAACCGATGTTTAGAGACCTTGAACGACATGAATCAAAATCGTTTACAATGGCGCAGGTGCATCCATTCTTTGTGTTCTCTGAAATTCTAATCTTCTGAATTCCTCATCACCTTTATCTTTCTCTTTCTAAATTTATCTCACTGAATTATACTTCTTGAATAAATGTCTTCGAACCTTAATCTTCTCCATTACCGCTAATGCTTATACTATCTCTGTCACTATAGGATTTGAATTGACAATTGAGTCTCCGGGCTAATGTGGTATGGCAACCTGAACTTACGTATGTACGTACGTTGTGTCTGACTGACTGACTGTATTCAACAGGATGCCATAAATAAAGTGAAACAAATAATCACATACAGAATAACTTTAAAGTTATAAAACTTCTAATGAATTGAGTGCAGACTTAAATATTTTCAGCAAATAAAACTAAACGAGGAAACAGTGAAAAACATTCACGTACCACGATGAGCAACATCCAAATGAAGTTGGAGATTGGATTCAGAAAAGTAATTCTTATGGCAGTAATTACATTCGAAACGTCCCACTGGACCAGACGAAATAGATTCGGATACCTAAAATAAGTAGAGTGAATATACTTTAAGATATATATGGAAAGGTGAGCGTTTTCATTATTATGAACCGGACTATTATGCCTTAGCAACTGCTATCACTGTTACAAACAAAACTTTTCTCAAAATCTTAGTAGGAACAAAAATACCTAATACACGCCGAATGCAACCGTCATTTATGAAATATTCTATTGTCTTCATGACGAGTTCACTTTTTTTAATTGCATTAGTCCGATAAATAAGAAGCTAATAATCTTGGGGACTGGTTTGGAACATTCCAAATACCATCTATAACCAGACAAATAGATCCCTTTATCCACAAAAACTTAAATTGAAATGCTATTTCATTCCTATCGTTTAGCTTTTGTCTAGAATGGAATTTCAGCATATATAGGTGATCAGATACGAGAAGTCATATAAGAAACATGTGAGATTTTAAATACGTTGACTACATAAAATAGATTTCTGTAGGTTAAATTTTATGACAAATTTCAGCCTAGCACCTCTCTGAAAAATTTGTGAATAGTCGGAGAACTGTTTTACTATTTTTAATCCTCACAAAGTATCGGTTTTTCGGTGTAGTTAACTTGGCTTTATGTGCTAAATTAGTTCGACACTGAGGGGACGAAACAATCATTGTTTAGATTATTTGATACAGGTAAGTAAATTCTCAACGAATGGCCATAATTACGAATCACCGGGTGAATTCCCTGATTATAGAAGTTAATAAGAGTGTTTATTAATTAAAAACTACACAAAATAGAATAGGGCAAGAAAATATCCGTAATGTTGCATCGTGAACATGAAAACCAACGTTTTTGATATAAAAAACAGAAATTAAGACTTAACTGATAAGATGTCCAAATATAAGGCCTCACAATCAAATTATAATTGAGTAGAAACTGAATGAACATTAAGCTAATTCTCTCCAATCACCTATGACATTTTATCATGTTTATTTCTGGTTAATATTCTGAATATAAGCATGTTATTTTATTACAAAAAAAGCTATTTATCTGGCTAGTGGTCTTGTCTTTGATTATTCACTACTAGGCCACATTATATTATTGCGTTTATCTATCGATCAGCATTTTAAGCATTGATTTTGATAGTCAAAAGTTCCTGATCAAATCACAGAAAACCTCCATCATATTAACACTTGATATTATTGTGTTAAGTTCGATGATCGTCATCTAGCGAAACAATTGCCATATAGTAAAATGTTCAAAAATATTAGTATCCCGATTAAAACATGAATTGTATTCACGATGTACACACCTTTAGTTCACTTGGTACTTCAGAAGTAATTGGATTTTCTTGGCTAATAACAACAGAGCAAACTTGCTGGACATATGAGTCTGTTCCTGCGTTTTCGTGTGCATTTGAAATGTCCAAATTCATGAGGACCTCACCACTTGAGTTTGTATAAACTGAAAAAGTGAGAAAAATGATTGTAAGAAAAAATAAACAAGTAGAGTGAAATACAATATAAAATAAAGAAAAACATAAAGTTTGATGTTTTATTGCACAACTCACTTGATGTACATACTACAAAAAACTTAGTGAATACTAAAAAGCAACTATAATGTAAACAGGCTGATCAAGTGGCTAACATAGAAAGATGTTAAGAGGATAAACCTTATTATTTACTTATTTATTTATTTAAACACAGTTCTGTTTGGTGAAGACGCCGATTTGGTCTAGTGTGTTTTTACGGGTTTGAGCGTCGTCACTTCCCGACTGTCCACACCGTGGAAGAGTGAAGACGCTGAAAATATGCACTCTTCTGACCACCATAGGCAACAATGCAAGCATGTTCAGAATGCGATTCTAGCACTCTAAATAAAAAAAGTTGCTTCGGGAGTGGCTTGCATCGACATCTGAACTAGTGAGAGAAAGTGAAGTAGTTGAGCGTGTTGACCGCCTCACTTAAATGTGGAGTCTCATCAGTGCTGATGGCCTGGTGTCTGATGAAATCTCATCACCGAAACAAAAGGCACAGTTGGCTTTTGCCAAATGGTGTCATTTATGGCGTCGACGAGATACCCGTCAGTTAACCAAAGGACGAGTCTACTGTGCAGCAGTTTGCTCCCTTCTACTATATAGGTGTGAAACATGGCCAGTAACAGTGTAGGATAGTCGAGTCTTCGAAGCGCTGCGCGTAGAACTTCATACGTACATACGTAAGTTGAAATAACGGACACCACTTGAAGTAAAGAATTCCGATGACACTTAGCCATAGATTTTCAAACGACCAAAGGTGTTCTAGTAGATAGCTTGTACAAAATTATCGTACTTCTTTGGTACACGTTTTAATGACAAACACGGTCGACAGAGGCAAATGCCACCCTTAGGTCGAGAAATACTACTAGTGTTGGGCGTCTGAACGTGTTTCTTCGTTCTAGGACCTGACGTAGTGTAAATATCTGATCTACATATCCACGTCCAGGTCGAAAATCAGCCTGATTTTTTCTAGTCTGCTCTTCATGAGCTCTAGTTAGACGTCCAAGTACTAATGAGGCCAATATTTTCGATGATTTATTAATTGAACTGATTCCTCTGTCACAAAGGACATCTGTCCTTTCTTATAGACTGGGACAATAGGTGATTCAGGCCAGTCAAATGAGACTACATGATAAAAACTAGACAACCATCCTTAAAAATCTCAGGCGTAAGTTTGTCAGGCCTTAAAGGTCGCCCTCGCTTTAGATTTCCTATTGCTTTCTCAACCTTGTAAAGACTCAGGATTTATATCGATTTGCCACTCACGATGATTGGAGATTGCGGACAACCGAAGTGCGGCTGAAGACCTGTTGGATTGATCAATAAAGTGTTCTGCCCTACGATCTAATCTCTTGGATTGAGAATGAAACATAAGCATATCCTTTTCTTAAATAGTTTCGCTAACAGATTGATTTCTTATACCGGTTTCTCTAATTGGGCGCAGCAGTTATCTGCTGTTACCTATCGCCGCTGGCTTTTCTATCTCTCTCGCTTTCGCCACTCAGCACTGTTCGCGATCATTGTGTAGGCGTTTCATCAGCCAGCGCTTAAGCTGACTTCACTCTTCATCATGTTCAAAGCCAGGTGGGATGAGTTTTCGAGCGTCTATCAGCTCAGTAGATGCTACTGAGATCCACGGCTTATTCCTAGCCTTATGGTTTACCTTACTAGCACATATCACTGCTGCTTCCACAGCTTTTTTAATGACATTCCGAGCTACCTCAGGGTGAGCATTACTTACATTGCAGTCTAAATGTTTTTCTAGTTCCTGAAATATATTCTTAGTTTTGCTAACATCAAATAGAACCCTAAGAGGTTTACTTGAGGTGTCTTTCCTGCGTCCAGTAAGTCACAAGCAAATACACGCTCGCACTAGAGCATGATCTGAATCTAAACATGGGCCCCAGAACGAGCGACAGTCCTCTATCCAACCCCTCCATCGGTGGCTGATAGCAATGTGATCTAGTTTGGTGCAGCGTTGGGATGACTTTGGGGATCACCATGTCAAAAGGTGTGTTTTCCTATGCTTAAAGTTAGTACTTGCTACAAATAGGCGATTGTCTGAGCATAGTTGCAGCAGACTGTCGCCATCATCTGTTCTATGAGTCGCAACACCATAAGGTCCACCCAACTGTCTTTCAGTTTCACTTAGTCTACCTACTTGAGCATTCAAGTCACCAGCCATTATCAACTATATCAGAGCTCTTTCTGCAGAACTCATCTTTTACCTCGTCTGAACTGCAGTCATTGGGAGCGTAGGCGGATACGACGAAGAGGCAACGGCATGTTCCTATCCTTCCAAGTCCTTACTGTCCCATTTAGTTGGACAGTGCACAAGCGACTAACTACTGTGATCCAGTGTAGGAGCGCACGTTCTGCCCTACGACTCAATCTTATTCCTGCGCCAGCGAGATCCCGGGAGGCAGTAGCAGGGCATTCTGATACACAAAGAGTAAATCGAGCTGCTTCTTTTTTGACATTGTGACGCTACTCGGATCCTGCATGCGCATTTTCAAGACGTAGCATACATTGATGGAGCGAGATTCTTAAGTCCTAGCTAAGGATGCCAGTTGCCCTATTTGACACAATGCCCGTACATTAAGAGCTCCAACATGCCGTTTAGAATGGGGTTTCAGGAGACGAGGTGACGTTTTGTGAACTCGAATCGTTTACATTAGCGGTGCAGTGTTAAAGAGATGTGAGAAGTGTTAGTCGTGGAGATAAGAGAGGTATTAGGGGGTGTAGGAAGGATTTGATTGCGACTAATTAGGTCTCGTGTGCAGTTACGGGTATAAGGGCGGATATCATTTGCTGGATGCTCACACCGTGGGAAGATGTTTCTTGAAGAACCTGAAAAGGTAGATTAGAGTCGGTCTTAGAGATCTGGGAGTGTGAACGCGGAACCCAAGGAACAACTGTTTGAGGTCGGTCACGTACGGCCTTTTATGAGAATTTTCCAGTGTTAGCTCCGTTCTTTTTAAAAGGCCTTACCGCCGGAGACGGAAATCCATGAATTAAGGTCGAGGTATGACATTTCCTAATCCCTCCCTTCCTTGTGAGAAGGTAGCATCGTTGCAGATGCTGGTTATTCGAGGTAAACACCTTATTGCTGTCAGCAGTACGACTTCGCCCTCAAACCTTGAGTAGCTGATATTAGTCTTACCGTTCTCCGACCGACCTGCCTGACATGATAGGACCAACAGCAACATACGTACCAGCCAATATAACTTGGTTTGGTCATCACGATAGGCAAGCTCGACCACCGCTAAAAGGTAGCAGCTATGGTCGGGACATTAAAATCTCATTGTATGACAAATATATTATTTTTCGGAAAATGTTTCTCTATCAAACTGTATTACATTTTACATGTTGGATACACGAATTTAGTAACAAGGAACCGACTGGTGGATGAACCATGTAACTGACGTGATGTAGCTTACAAGATTGGCAAACCATTTGAATGAATATGGCACAAGAAAAACAAAAAACTGTCAGTATGTATTTAATCTGCCACAGATACTTGTCACAAGTTAGCATAAACCAGATGCGTGACAGAATAGATTGACAAAACGCATGCTTTTGAGATATATTTTAAAAAAGTCTGTCGTGCCCCAAATCAAATCCAACAGACTGCTGAGTTTAGCTTTTTTGTATCGGCTGTGGAATAGAGGAGTGACAAACATTGAAGTGAGGTACTAAGACGGTAATTCAGTTAGTGGGGGGTATAAAATCTTGTAGGCTGAGGTAGCTGAGATATACGTTAGGTATGTGCAACTAATACATACCCTGACTCAAAATGCTGGTTGAATTAATGGATTAAAAAAAGACTAACAGTGGTCAGAAAGCTAAATGGCATAAATCTATGCAATCTCTAACTGCTTGTTTGAGTTAGGTAGGTGAAGTTATCTAGTTGGGATTCCAGTAATAATTATAATTTATAGTTGGGATCATTGGATGACATGGATCAAAACTGATCGCAGTCGTGTTTATTTTTGATCCTATACTAGACATTAAGTGTGCACACCTAACTTTCCATTCTTTGATTTTATGTATTTTTTTAAACCATATTTCTTTATTTGCATTTTCGTTGTGATGTGAAGCGTATCAATTTAGATACGTGTATCATTCCGAGTCAGCTGACTGATTATAAATTAAGTGGTGAAATACCAGATAAGCTAAGCTTTTGGAATTCCTAATTTTTGTTTTCAAAACCGAAGAAAATAATTCACTATTTTGCGTAGCAACACGTGACAAAATAAAATGTTCAGTGCACAACGCTACTAAATACAACCACAGATAATGTTGGCAGGACCGAAAACCAAAAAAGACATACCAACAAAAAGAACCACAAACTAACCTTGATTCTGTCCAGTGAATAGGGTTTGGTATACACTGTTTGGAGCAAGAGTCGTCATGAGCTGCATAAAAGCGTAACTATTAGATTGATAAAAAAACTGATAATGAATCGATAATGCAGAAACAGTACTAACAATACGAAGTTTTTACCAAAATAGCTAAAAGGCTTAGACCGTTGCAAAGTAGTTTACTTCTTTACAAACAGGTAAGCATTGCAAAAAAATATGTACTACCGGTAGGAGAACAGCTTTGAGTATCAGATGCGCAGCTGATGCACTGTAGTGCTAAGAGCTAACAGTCAAAAAATTTCTAGCCTTTGATAATGGCTAAATGAAACTTGGGACCGGGAAGACTTTTGTCTACTCAGACTTGAGATGTACTTTTTGACGGTTAGCAGTATGGTCTACTAAACTAAAGCAGACATGGAGGAGTCTTAGTCTGCAAATTAGTTAACAATCAAGCGGTACAGTCCCAAAAGCAACTAGTAAATCTATCCATAATATAAAATGGTTCAGAACGGGAGTTAGTGACCCCATGAACCTGTACAATGACTGCTCCTAGCTACTTTGATCTGAAAATCTTAAAGCAGGGCAAGGCAGGCTACATGCACTTAGCCTATCATTTGATATAAGGCTTAATGTTCCGCCAGCGTCCTTTGTGGAGTAAAAACATATTACACTACCACATAAGAAATACTGGTGTACAAATAGTTCGGTATATATGGTCCAAAAGTTTTATTACGTGTGATTAGTACTGTCTTTTAATATTCTAAACGTTTGGACGAGATCATCGCTCTAAACGTAGCCGTCGCTAGTTGGTTGAGGTAATTGCTATTTTACCAGTTACAGATTGCGATTTCACTGAACCTACCTTCATTTGAGTAGCTGGATGGCATCAATAACACTAGCTCAAGGTAGAGTGCATAAAATAGAAACTAGGTAAATAGGTAATATCATTGGATTACACGTCCAGCTTTCTCTAGGAAGTCATTCATTCCAATTAGGAAGTAAAGAACATCTGCATTCAGGTTAAGTGGTTTTCCTTCGACTAAGTCGTATCAGAGAGGAAAACGCAGGGAGAGGAAGGACAATTCTTACGGAGTAAACCAATTAAATACATTTACATGAACTTTACCCCCTATTTTCTAAAAAAAAGTAGTCTGTATCTCTCTGCTTACTGTATCTGAGTCCGACTGCTTATAGTTGTCTTTTCCGACTCATATTGCTTAGTATATTTAGTCAGTGCCTACTATATGGTACTAAGTTCCAAGCAATCTGTTCTGCATGTCGTTCAACTTACATCTATCGACTGAGGAATTGTACCATCACTAACTCTAATTCGCAGGAAGAACCTTAACCTATACTTTTAGTTTCAGCTGAGGACTATGCTAAGAGTCTTAAAATCAAACCTTAGTCTCATTATTATAGAAATAGACTGTGAAGGGCAAGTCCATGGGGTGATAATCCTTAACAACACCTTCCCAAATCCTAATCTGTGGAAGACTAGAATTCTCCACTGAATGATTTGGTAAAATTACGCCTGAAGGTGTGCTGTTGAGATCAAACTAGTTACTCTGTTCCTATTTACCGGTTTTTGCCCATATTTGTTTTATTGAACAAATAGGCAACTCGAAACAACCTGATGAGTTGCCCAAAGCTACTGTCTTAATACAAGTTGACTAAAAAACTACTTGATATTTTGAGGTACCTGAATACTATCTGGCAGGCAAGCCAAGAACTCAAAGGTTTGAATAATCTAATTTGAATTATCTAACCCTATCAACTTCTAGTTCTCTATAAGCAAGAAACCACGGAAGAGCCTGTCTTAATAACAAAATCTATCGAAAATCTTAATGAACATATAATTTATAGACTATCCAAGTCATAATTATAGACAAAACCAAAGGCAATTACCAACACCGCCACCTTCGGAATTTGCGCCTATAGTAAACAGTAAAACAATGATCTTAAGTCCAACTCTCAAACGAAACATGCAGATAAGAATTGATTAGATTGCCGACGAAATAAGTGCAGTGTTTGAATAACTTTTTCAACACTGGTCTTATGCTTTCACCCTTTCTAGATTAGTAACTAACTGTCGCAAGATGTTCCTCGCCCAATCTATTTTCATGGTTTTAGTCTAATCAGCTAATCTTTACCAAAATATTTCAGTGTAAAATATAAGATGGTAATTTGAAACAGAACTATATCTAACTTGAAAAAATCCATCTTAACTTTTGTTCTGTAAATGAAGTTTCAAGTATTCACACTTTTTTCAGATCTTTCTCATTCCTCCTTTTGTTTCTCGCCCAACATTTGTCACTCAACCAGTTGGGTTATGTTCAAGGTTCTACTTACCCACAATGATTATTGCTTTTTCCGTCTTCAAACAGATCTTGATACATGAAGGTGTATCCCGTCAAATAATTCAGATGGAGATGCTCAATGGAAGTCCGCTCCCTAATGTCTCCTCAGAGCGCGATCTTGGTTTAATAACCACAGAAAGCCTCCACACGAGTCCGAACTATGTAGGGGATGCAGCCAAGGCAAATGCGACTCTTCGCTTTATGCGAAGACAGCTTGGTGCTATCACCCCGAAATTATTTTTAACCCTCTTTAAGACGTACGCGCGCCCACACTTGGAGGTTCACAACGTCATCGCACCCCCTCTGCTTAAAAGAGACATTAATCTCTTGGGTCGAGTGCAGCGACGAGCAACGAAATAGGTGATAGGGTTGAAAAATAAACCCTACGACGACAGACTCCAGCTATTGAGATTATTCCCACTGAGCTACAGGAGAATCAGAGGTGACCTGATTATGGCGTACACCATATTAAACACGCCAATCCATCCCAATGTGAGCATCTTACCGATGCATCACCATCACTCCTCTCGAGGCAATCCTCGAAAGATTGCACATCAAAGAACAAATAGTCAGATTCGTGCACACTTTTTCTCACTGCGAGTCGTCGCAACTTGGAATGCTCTCCCAGCCGAGGTAGTTTCAGCCCCCTCAGTGGACTGCTTTGGGAAGAGACTTGATAATCACGTACTCACATACGGACTATCATCTCCCTCTTGGACAAGCTGTGCCTGATGCATATCTCTAGACCTGCTAGTTGTTACCATTGCCATCTCCTCAGATCACTCAATTAATCTATCTTGCCTATTTTCTCTGTTTCCTCTCCCTTGCTTACACTTCGGTCCTCTCTCACAATCTTCACTACCAATTACTGAACTAAATTCATTATATATTACTCAGTTCTGAAATTTTATTCATATTATCATTTTAATTTATCCTTATTACCCTTATTACTCTCCACATTGCAACTAACTGATCTCCGGTTTGGTAATGTGACGGCTGCTAGTATCCAGAAACCCTACTGCCCTGAAACAAACGTTTCATTCAAACCTCGAGAAATACAAACTCACAACCAACTGCCAACTGACTAGAATTAGACAGTCGAGTGGCTAGACCTCCATCCATTGGACATTACCGAACACCTGGAACCGTACCGAAAGAACAAGAATCGAGAGCGAAGAAATCAAATTGGTTTACACTAGCTCGTGAAAAAGATATTCGATATGGGATATTGGAAATAAAAATACTTTCACATGACAAGCTTCTCTCTCCAGTGGCAAATGATCCCCGATATCCGCGAATAAGTGCCCAGGTAACTGAAAAACCAGAAACAAAGAAGAACTATGAACGCTAATGATACGTCGTCCCGATTTCTCAAAAATATATCAAGGTTCCTATCGGCCGAAGTCGGATCTTGGCATATTTCAAATGCTGATTGCTCTCTAGTAATAGATGTTTATTTCGGTCAAGTTGCTTTTTGAAAACCTTATTTTTCAATATTCACATAAAGTCTTTATTTGGACCGAGTATAATTTGCTGTCTTAAAATATCATCATGAGTGTTGAGTTGGCTATAAGCCATTAGAAGAATTTATATGAGTTTTCAGTCTTTAGTAGGGAGAATAGAAAATCATGAACTATAATAATCCTCACAATTTGTAATAATGCTAAGGTGTGGTATCTCTCTGAACGCATCACCACAAAATGTCGATATCACTTGTTCCAATGGGGATCAGATGGTCGCTTCCGAACAGAAGGAATATATGAGGCATGATAATAGAAAAGCCGTCTTTGAGAATATGGTAATCCAGTACCAAATCACATCCAACTTGCGGAAAGACAATGCACGTAGACTGATGAATCTGAATTGTCTTCATAAGGTGCCTCAGTGAGGCCTTACACATAGCTTGTTTACAGTCCTGAAGACCCTGATGCCTTCTGTATCGGCGGCCTTACAGGTACTAGTAGTATCAAGGTCATGTCACGAGTCAAGTTATGACTCCTACATTTTTGCACCCCACTATTTTACCTTATCCCACTTGATTTTTTGCACGCTCATATAATTAATGTTAATTATCAGTATAACCTGCTGGAACAAATCTCTAGTTTATGCATATCAACGTTTTCAGTCACTTAATCCAAATCTTAATTTATCAGTCTTCTATCAGTCGTGCACTCCATCTGTCTCCAAACCAAAAACTCTCCACTGAATAGTAGAAAAGATGATTTTACGACAATCACTCAATCGCTTACAAAGATTAAAAGAAGGGCATCAGGGATTTTACTTCGTGGAACTGAATTCTTTATATAGTCCTGAATTGCTATAAGCCTGCTTACCCTCACCAGTTGCCTAATTCCGAGAACTTCACTCACTGAAATCCCGTGATGAACTCCTAGAATTGCAGTCCAGTATTCTCTTGTAACGAGGTTCATAAAGCATAAAACCGTTTTCTAAAACCATATTTTTTACTAGATAGGAGACTACCCCTTCCATGTGCTTTATAACCGCCACCTGGATTATCAACCACTCTATTTGGCTTAATACACTTTATAACACTGGTCAGGCCAATAGAGCAGTTATTTCTGAGTTTTTGTACCTCAGTTTTTAAGCCAAGTTGATAATTTCATTTTTTCTTAAGTTTGGCAGTTTACAATACCTCAGAGATATATGAAACCGTATTGCCACTGGCTCTGTCATTATATCCTCCGGGGCTCCCATGATCATAGAGTAAACATCATCAAGAACACTTAGTTTATCTCATTTGAGATGTCGAAATATTTATTAGACAGACTCCTTCAAGGAAGTACAGCATCCTTAATCAAAACACTGTTATTTTAATTAGTGCCTGACATTTAGTTATTATCGGTAGAAAACACATATCCTGACGAAGATGCAGCTTTTGACGTTGTCGTTACTTGTTAGTGTCAACAAATTCCTATTTCGAAAGTGGCAGGATTCGGTCTCTTTCCTCAGTTTGTCTCTCTGTATAAATCCATATCCTTTTCGGACTATTTTCACAACTTGTATTCAACCGTTTTTCGTGCAACAGTCTAGACTTTTAAACACATATGATGTTTTCCTTGTCGTATAGTAAGTGAACATGTCCTATCCGGAGCAAGTTGAGGTAAACGTATTCTAATGCCTTTTTTAATGTCTAAGAGGCTCCCTACCTTATTTATCCATCCATGATAGACAATGTGTTATTGAGTACTGTTAGAATGGAGACCTAACAGATTTAAAAGTCCATTTCAATATAGGCCATGATTCTTTGATCGATGAGCTAGTACTTAATAACTATCCCGCTGCTGTGGTACAACCTTGGATGGCGGATAAGCTCAGTGTAGGTGGGCTGAGCTGACAATGTCACAAGTAATGAAGATAATTGTTGAAACATCATGATTACCACTAGCTAAAGATGGTAGCAAGGCTGGACAATCGAAATTCTCGATCGTATGAGTGATTTCTAAATTTGACAAAAGTTATTTCCGTTTTCAGTCGAAACCTATAGGTTCAAATATGTGTTGTGCTAGAGTATGATATATCGCAGTCATCAGCAGTTCAATATTGCGTAAATGTTCGGATCCAGTAGTGGACATACTTGTCCGGGCAATATCAATAATCTCTTATTTAAAAAAGATTGGACTACGCTAGATAAGTTCACAGCCAGTGACGCCATAAATTCAGCTATCATGAAACCGTTAGACGCGACAACGTATTTTGGTGTTATTATGTTTTAAGGAGCCTACATATTTCTTCGTATATACTCTTGTTGCTTCTTTAGTAGATGTACTCTGACAGTCTCTAAATAGTAGTAGATTATTTGCCTGAATAATCGCAACAGCCATAACGATCCGTCCTAATTCGTCCACTAATACTCCTAGTTTGTGTGATTCATTTCCTAGATTACAAGCAACAATTTGTCAAACTTAACTTAATATTAACAAGAGCAGATTCGCTTATATTTGCTACAGCCGCAACTGATATCTAGTTCATCATAAACATTCACTAGAACCTCTTAGTGTCGTTAGTGATTTGTGCTGAAAGTAAGTCAACCGTTTAAACTTTTCTCAACGCACAACACTTTAGAGATCCATATGAGTAAAGCATATGGGATTCATAATGACCAATTTAAATTGCGCCAGATATGAGTTATTATCAAATCGCTTTCATCTGGGAATAATTCATGGGTAAAAAGTCTATTACTTATCTAATTGACTGAACAGCGAAAGTTAAACAGTGACTTTTTCATGAAATATCTATAATAATATTGACATTCTTAACATTTTTAGCGAAAATATTGAGATTCCATTTTCATAATTTCGAATTACGAAACACAGTCTTGTCATACACTTGATCAAAAAAACTGTTGTTTCAGACGTATTTTTGATTTCCACCGCTTTCATTTTATCATTCTAAATCCGTACTTTTTATATTCTTCCCCGCATCGAGTAACGCGCCTTATTCTATTTGATAAATTTTACTACTTCCATCCAAACATTTGGAACAACGGTTCCATGCTCCGGTTTCCCAATTTAATTTTACTTGAAACAGGCAGGTGACTCACTAGGTCAGTCGATACTGTTCAACTGTAGCTGGCCGATAAGAACTCTTACGAGTCATCGCCCAAACATAACCATTTGCTGCTTAACATTTAGTGATCATGCATCCACAGCTTGAAAAGAAATCACCCTGTTTTAAGTTGCACAAAACTTCATCAACACCCACAATTTTGTGATTTCTTTGATGCCTATCAATAGATTTATTGTTTGATGTTGATTTACTACCGGTTCCAAATAACTGTCCATTGTCACGTTTATAACTAGTATACTTCCGCCATTCCTGCTTACTTTATCAAACATTTTTGTGGTGGTTTTCGTTCTCTGAGCTGGATGTTTCGAGATGTTTCACTGGAGACCCAAGTATTTCGGAAGCCAGCTCACACAGAACTAATTCTCAACTACAACAGAAATAATCCAGGAAATCCCAAAGCCAACTATTTACAAACGTTGTTCAAGAAAGCAAAGATACACTGTCGCACTTGAAGCGCAAACAATCAAAGAAAAATATCTCATGACCATCTTCCAAAATAACGGCTATCCATGCAACTTAGTCGAAAAACATCTACTGAAATCTTCAACAGAGGCAAAATCATACACATGAAGCAATAAACGAGTCATTCCACCATACATAAAAGACATATTGGAACTTGCAAAAAGGCTAGTGAAACCAGTTGGATTAGATGTAGCACACAAACCAGTAGAAATAATTCAATTAATCATATTTAGACCAAAGGATAAAATGATAGAGGAAGAAAAATCAAATATAATTTGCAAAAGAAATTGCTCACACTGTGATAAGCAAATTGGTCTCATCTACGTGAAAGTCAATTAGCAGTCAAACACCATGACATTTCTGCGTTCATTTCAGTACACATGGACAACTTTGGAAAGATGTTCGATTATAACAATGTGGAAATACTGGATAGGGGGAGCATAAAAAACACTAGAGAACTTTTATAAGCCTGGCTTTCAGGTCAATCAGCAATGAACAAAAACATCGACATTGACCCAACATAGGAGCCAGTCAGAAAATTACAGTCAAACAAAGGATCAAGAATCAGATTACGGGGGATACACTCAAAACAAATGTTCAAACGAAAACGGTTTCAAGGTCAATAGCAGCTCCTCAAGACCAAGGCTAGCAGAACAAGCTGAGAGCCAAATGTGGAGAAAATCGAATACTTCATCATAAAACTCTTTGCCTCCATTACTGCTTTGTGCTTATAGCTTGTTTGAAATCCCATACTTTTCACCATAACAGTCGGCAGAATTGCATGGATGTCTAACACAAAGTTCATAAGTTATAGCAGCCAGATAAGCTTGTAAAATAGAACTTGCTGAATTAACGCTTCTCAGCAGGATATGGAATACTGAGTCCCGAGTAGAACATAAAACATTATCTTACAGTCATTTTAAATGAGCCCAAAAACAATGAACAAGAAGAATGGGGTTACCGATTAGCAGATATTGGTGATGAAGTCTATGATTTCAACCCACCCGTATTTGGACTCATGTTTCCATTAATATGCTGTGATCGCTATCCTGCCAAGACAGCCTGCAATATGCTTACTCAGACACTTACAGTATGTTAAAGAGGTTGACATTTGATGCAGTAATCGGTAGACAGTGAAAGATATGATCATCTGCTTTCAGAAAATTGACTCTTCTTCCAGAACTTTCAGCTTCAATGTACAGACAAACAACATCGTACTTCAATTTCCCCTTCATTTTTCGGACTCTGTACATCTTGATGCACATTGCGACCTCTGTAATTTATTTCTCTACACCTTAGTTTTGAAGATCATATTGCTGAAGTTTATTTTTGTTTTAGTATCCTGTATGAATTTTACCAACTGATACACCATCGCTTGGTCCACTCCACCATGAACGGCCAAACAATGCTCTGGCTAAATATATCTCATTTTATTATCTTCAATTATTCATAGTTAGATGAGGATATCTGATACTGACAGTTTACTTCTATAATACAGGCTAATTAGGAAGTGGCATTCCGGTTACTACGCATACTCGTCGTAACCCAACCATCATACCTCGCGCCAATCATTCGCACTGTACGTTATAAAGTCTGAAACATTATCTTTAATTTTATGTGGGAAATTTTAGCCATCTATATGAAGCTAATGTATCTTATGAAATATTTCAACAGCTGAATAACCTTGAACAGAAAATATGTTAGCAACCTTAACATTTCGATCTTGCCTGCAAATTGTCGTGCCTCTTGTAACATGTCATTTGAGAAAAAATTATAATAGTTATTATTAATAACACCACATTTTTGTTTACAAGTGAGTGCTTTTCAGTTTGAACCTTCTACCTTCACTTATGTTATTTTCAGCATCAGGCCAGGAAGTTCGCTGTTATTAAGGATGTGCTCAATTAGTAGATTTCAGTAGTTTCCAGTAAGTGAACTATGAATAATGATCGCTGTATCTATTCGGAAAACATTACTGACATTGACATGTTAAATTATATAAGCATAACGAGCGATCGGTCGTGAAATGAAGTTTTACATCCTTTTAATGAGTCTCAACAAAATTAATCAATGTAGACACAGTTGGCGATTTTGATACTGCTGAAGACTTTGTGACGCAAGGTCCTCGAAGGAAAAGAGGGAGATGAACACAAAAAGCTGACTTCATCAAAGCGCATTTCGTAAATATTATCACATGGTTCCTTATAGTATGAAAGGAAGATAAAATGCTACTGGACGAAGCAAAATACTGGAGCAGCGTCTGTTAGTTCCACTCACCTTGTGCTTAAAATTCTACCTGGTTACTTCTTAGCCCCTTATCCAATATCCAATATCTTTTTCACGAGCTAGTGTAAACCAATTGATTTCTTTGCTCTCGATTCTTGTTCTTTCGGTACGGTTCCAGGTATTCGGAAGAGTAAGCTGTTCAGTTTAACAAATCCCAATACTAAGCAGTTCTGCAACATTCTGATATTTTGCTAACCTCGTTTATTCTGCTGAACACATCTTAGCTAAGGGCGCCCGATCGCACATTTAGACCAGACCACCATCTGGTAAGCTGCGCGATGCAAACCCTCCCATCAGCTAGCAAGCTGAGTCCACTCAATCCTCGACATCCCTACTATCATTCAAGTATACTATCTATTCTCTTCATCATCTTGAGGTAAACTACCTAGATTCATTGAAACGAACGACGGTAGTTTCGATTATGCTATGTGTTGCGTTTGAAAGTATACGCTACCCGACCTCCAGTTCCGACTGTCAGTTTGTCTCGGTCTCACACTTGTGTTATTTCTGATTGTAATCAATTGCTTTCCTAATTAAAATTAATTACATTCTGTGAGCTTATTAAGTCATTGGCTAACATTTTCTCTTGTCCTTTCATTTTCAGGTAATCCCACACTCCCTCTAGCACACCAAATGCCTTCCGTCTAGACGGAAACTTACCAAGGTCCGCAGTTACAGCCAACTTTAGTCCTATGCCGTCTTGTAGGGATATGAAGAACTAGGAGTAATTACTTGTAATGGCCTGAAAATTGCAATTTAGTAGCTGTCTAAGTTTTCCTAATACTGTCGCTGTTCATTGGATTCGAATACTCCAATGACGATATGTTTTGGCTTTGTAATCCTTTTATGGGACACTCCACATATAGTATTGCATCGGCTCAGCTGCTCCCTGTCTAACTAAAGATGCTATCAGTGACTGGTCTTTCTAATTTCCCCTATGATAGGCACTTACAACGCATTAACTTTTTTCTCCCTATCGTAGAACATGTAGTAAGCCCATATTAGCATTGTGTTTAAAGTAGTAGTTTGAACGTTAACATGTATATCTTTGCTTCATCCTGTAAATGATCTTCAATGTATAGTTGATAGGTTCAATGTTGGCTACTCTTTTCAACGTATAGGAAGTTGCAGCTCTTAATACTTTAAGTTTATTATAATAGTTTATTTAATTTTTGCTTAAATCAACTGTTCTCTTTTTATATTGTTATATGTTCTCAGTAGACGACAGGATGATATTACTAATCCAATATATTTCACCAGCCTTAAAATTACATCCGTTCAAAATTTTGGATCCTACGAAAGAAATTTAAATGTTAAAAAGTAGTTTTCCAGTGTTTTATTAGGAGTTGGTTATGTATATTCAGTCCCAACTTCTGATATATAAACCAATATTTTACATGTCTCACAAGTCCTCACTGGACAATACCTGTCCTATTAGTAACAGTTTTATATGTAAGCTGCTGAAATGCTGGAAGGACTTTAGATCTGCATGCAGAACATTTTGCAATCTACCCGTTGCGGAAGATTATTCAGACTCTATAAAGAAATTTACAGAAGATGAGTTGTCCAAAGTAATTGGTTTGATACTGGACCATCTTATGATTTCATCCAAATCTATGCTCGTAAATTCTGAGGCGATAATAGCCTACTATACTTCCAAAAGGCTACTCAATTTGTACAAAGATATCAAAGGTGAATTAGGAGAGGATACAACAACCGATGAGCAAAACACTTTGGTACTAAACGCTTTTAAGGTGAGTAGATATTGTCGTTACTCTAAATAAAATCGTATTTCAGAAGACGTTTTTTTCTCAACTCTTTTTCAAGGTCGGTTGCGTTCTGGATAAGGTTTTAAAAGAAGCTTCTGAAACTACTAAAGCATTCCCAATCTGCATTTGCATTGAATTTATTTCAGATGCCTTACAGGACAACTCATCGAGTCTTCTATTACTTCATCATCTTAGTGAATTATGGAGCAAATTAGGAATCATAGTAAAGAAAGTCGTTGAGCAAATCGTAAGTTCAAGTATTAACAAATCTCTGATTTTTAATGAGTATCCATAATATTTACGTTTTTTAACTATTTTAAACGTATGTCACTATGTTAAATTAGTTCTCTAAGTTAAAGCCGATAAAACTATCTCCCTATTATACCAGCATGAATAAAAATTGAGATAGTATTACGGCCGATCGTATAAACTATATTTCCCAATCAGATGACGTATATCGTCAAAACGCTACTCTACCGTGTCTTGTTTTAAGTTTTGTCTATATGCTCATCAATGTTTAAATGTCTCTAGAAAGAAATAATAATAAGCACATTTTAAGACTAGTTACCTTTAAACTTGTGTTGTTAACCCTGCCGTAAAGCATCTTAGTGATGGATAGGTAGTAATGTTTTAGCGGGAAAGGTGTTGATGGTTGTTTTGAGTTCCAGATGTTCCTCAATTGTAGAAATGTTACCCTTCCCTTCTAATCCGTGTCTTAGCGTCTGCATCAGATCCATGTGTTTATCAATGGTATCGACGAGGTATGTGAAGGTTTCCACATAGTCTAGAACTTTCCCACCAAGTGATTTGGTCGGTGCATGTTGCTTCGTATTTAAAGAACTTGCCATTTCCCTTGTGTATATTGAGATCTACTGTTGCAGAGGCTGCTGCTACGGTGACTGTTCTCACCTGCATTTGTCGCTGTGTGTGGAATAGAGGAGCCAGGTGATCTGCCAATTCCAAGTCGCCTAGCTGCATCCTAGTTGTCTACTGTGTCTCTTGCTTCCCCTGAGATTTTGACCACTTCAAGATACAGTCAACCACCAGAAGGAAGAGGAAGTGTAAGAGTAAGCAGCCTTGTCTGATACCAGTGAGTCTGTGAACTGTCTTCCGTGCACGATTTTGCAGTGTAGTCTGTCATAAGGATTCTGTATGATGTTGACTATCTTCTCAGGTACACCGTCGTGCCGAAGGTGCCTCCATAATACCATCCTGGACACGCTATCAAGTGCCTTCTCTTAGCGAAGGAAGTTGATGCACAGTGGTGAGTTGCATTCAGTTGGTTGTTTGACAATGATTTGAAGTGTGGCAGTTTAGTCATTACAAGATCCATGCTTACGAAATCCAGCTTGTTGATCTTGAAATCAGGTGTCTACTGACTGTTTCATTCAGTTCAGCAACACTGTTGAAGACTTTTCCTCGTACTGATAGTAATATGATTCCTTAATAGTTCCCCCTTCTTTGGTATCGTGATGAGGTGTCCTTCTTTTCATTCTGTTGGTATGTAGTGGCCCGAGATCTGACTCCAATGTGGGTGGATGATCGAATATGCTATGAAATAAATCTACCCTCCAATTTCCGTATATCATATTAGGCGAACCCCATTTGTGCCAAATACGGTTTTGTGGATGAGTTTATTTCATACATTCATCTAAGCAGACTGACATGAGAATGAAAAGCGTACAAGCAAAGTCAAGTGAAGTAGAGAATGTGAGCAAGCCAACTCAATGTCATGAGCAATGACTAAGTATTTAAAGTCAAAGTTTACCGTAGTGTGATCTAGTGTAATCGATGTAGATTTGTGTATGCGCTTGTGTGGGAGTTTGATGCTGCCTATAACTGTTTTGTTAAAGGCACATAGATTTGAATCTCTCATCGTTTTCGTTCCTTTCTTCCTATCCATAATGTGTTCGTATCCGGTGTTGTCCGTTCCAACCTTAGTGTTTAGGCCGCCTATCATAATGATCAGTCTGATTCTTAGTTATTATTATTATTTATAACCGGTCTTTCCGATTGTGAGAAGGGGCACGGCCGTCGTGACTTCCGAAGATACTTGGCTTTCACCACGAGTTGTGATAACTATAAAATGAAGACCTTCCAACTCCCAGGGTGGTGTTTAAATGGTGTGAGTTATTTTTCCTGATTATCGTTTTTTAGGAAGCTTTTTTCTACGAGATGGAGCTTCAATGACTTGAATGCTCAAGTAGGTAGACTAAGTAAAAAGGAAAGTTAATTGGGTGGATATTATGGTGGCGCGGCTAATAGAACAGATAATGGCGATCGTCTGTTACAGCTGTTCTCAGATAACCGCCTATTTGTAGCAAGTACTATTTTTAAGCATAGGAAAACACACCTTTTGACATGGTGATCCCCAAAGTCATCCCAACGCTGCACCAAACTAGATCACATTGCTATCAGCCACCGATGGAGGGGTTGGATAGAGGACTGTCGCTCGTTCTGGGGCCCATGTTTAGATTCAGATCATGCTCTAGTGCGAGCGTGTATTTGCTTGTGACTTACTGGACGCAGGAAAGACACCTCAAGTAAACCTCTTAGGGTTCTATTTGATGTTAGCAAAACTAAGAATATATTTCAGGAACTAGAAAAACATTTAGACTGCAATGTAAGTAATGCTCACCCTGAGGTAGCTCGGAATGTCATTAAAAAAGCTGTGGAAGCAGCAGTGATATGTGCTAGTAAGGTAAACCATAAGGCTAGGAATAAGCTGTGGATCTCAGTAGCATCTACTGAGCTGATAGACGCTCGAAAACTCATCCCACCTGGCTTTGAACATGATGAAGAATGAAGTCAGCTTAAGCGCAGGCTGATGAAACGCCTACACAATGATCGCGAACAGTGCTGAGTGGCGAAAGCGAGAGAGATAGAAAAGCCAGCGGCGATAGGTAACAGCAGATAACTGTTGTGCCCAATCAGAGAGACCGCTTTTAGACCAGTTTTAGCATTTAGACTGATTGGGATCTTTAGTAGAGTCTGGGAACTGGACGTAATTCCATTTGACTGGTCTCAATCACTGATGTCCCAGTTCACAAAACAGGACCGAAGTTCTGTTACAATCACAGGGTAATCATTATAACTAATATGTTGTCTAAAATATTGGCTTCAGTAATATTATGACACCTAACTAAAGCTTGTGAAGCGTATACTAGAGTAAATCAGGCTGGTTTTCGACCAGCCTGTGGTTGTATAAATTAGATATTCACATCAATTTAGGTCCTAGAACAGAGACACGTTCAGACGTCCCACACTAGTGGTATTTCTCTACCTTAAGGCGTCATTTGACTCTGTCTATCGTGAGGTTTTGTGGCAGTGTTTGTCACTCACGGAAGTACATTAACCTTAGAAAACCTCTACTCGGACCACTACTGGTCGGGTCAGCGCTTATGGAGAAATGTTATCACAATTTATTACTTCAAATTGCGTTCGTCAGGGCCGTCCCCTTTCTTTATTCTTGTGTAACTTTGACAATTACATGCTTTTATATGCGATACTTTCATTATATGACTTTTCGAGAGTCAGATGTATCCAGGGAGACTCGCTTGGTGACTTAGAATATGCCGATGACATAGTTCTACTTGGTGAAGACGACAAAGTGCAGAATCTTCTGACCACTATAAGCAACAATGCAAGCATTTTCGGAATGCGATTCCTTCACTTTAAATACAAAATTCTGCTTCAGGATTTGCTTGCATTGGCACCTGAACTAGTGATAGGGAATGAAGTAGTTGGGCATGTTGACAGCTTCACTTAACTGGGGAGTTTCATCAGTACTGATGGCCTGGTGTCTGATGAAATCTCAACACGGATACAGAAGATTCGATTGGCTTTTGCCGAATTCTGTCATTTATGGCGTAGGCGAGATATTCGTTTGCTAACCAACGGACGAGTCTACCGTGCGGCAGTTCGCTCCTTCCTGCTATATTGGATGCGAAACATGGCCAGCAAGAGTCGAAAATATTCGTAGGCTATTAATATTCGATTATAGATGTCTTCGGAGCATTACTCGTATATCCTGGGACCATCGAGTAGGCAATTCTGGGGTCAGGAAGAGGGTACTAGGTAAGGATGGCAAATCAATTGATGGAGTAGTGGATATTCATCTGTTGTGGTTGTTAGGACATGTGTATGCCTAACCACCGACTGCCTCGACAAGCTATGTTTTGTTGTGTAGGAGTAGGTTGGAAGAAAGCTAGTGATGGCCAAACTAAAACATAGCTCCATTTCATGAAGTCATTGACAAGTGGACTGAGACATGTCGATAGGTGTAAGCTACCTGGCTGTGGTCAGCGTGACGATAGTAACCGATGGTTAGAGACTTTGGAAGACATGGCCCGAAATCGTTTGCAACGGCGCAGGTGCATCCATTCTTCATGTTTTCCAAAATTCTAATGTAAACTCATTTTGACCTTAATCTTTCTCGTCTCAAAATTATTTCACTGGAATATACTTCTTGAATAATATTTTCGGACCGTGATCTTTCCGATTACTGCTCGTAATTCTACTGCCTCTATCACTATGGGACATGAATCAACAATTGCATCTTTGGTATGGCGACTTGAACTGAACATACATTTATAAAATCCCCATCAACGCCTTATTTGGAATTTCATGTGGAAAGTATATTTAACTTACGATTGTTAATTAATCGTTATTTGATCTTAGTTTTGACGATTACTATATTGAATATCAGTTGATACTCATATCCCTACTGAGGTCGAAGTGTATTTAAATGAGAATTCAGAGGTAACCTTAAAATATTTCTCTTTTATTTTAGCGATTGAGATATACTTCAACTGATTATTAGATTACTCCTGGATGTACTCGACTTTTAGCCATACTTTCTATTAGAGATATCTGATTGTTAAAACCAAAGAAAGTGTTGTTTGTCTCTGTGGTCAATTTTTTGCGAACTAAAAAAATAAAATCTGATAATGTTAACATTACCAGATGACAATCTTATGATATTTGTAATGTCAGATAAATTGTAAAAAGTTAATCATAAATAGGAATGCTATTTCAATATCTTATGTAAATGAATGTTGTATCATTATCCGAAACTGCAAGAAATCTGAGAAATTCCGAACTCTGAAATACCGATTCTGTCAATATTCACTAGTTATGCTAAGAGTTGTATGATTCCTGGATCTTTTGAAACTACAGCTAACATAAGAAAAAAACTTAAAAAGTCTAAATGACCTAAACACTTAATTAAATAAAAGGAGGAATTGTGTAATGAGCGTCATAATTAACCAACTAGCCATAAATAACAACAAATTACTAACATTTCATGATAAAGACTAAGTAAAAATATTTTAAAAGTCACTTGTGCAATGACGCAATAATGTTTATCATAACTACCTGCAATCATCATGAATACCGTTAGCCATTATAGATAAAAAAAGATCACCTTCACATTTCTCGAAACTAACGAACAAGTTGACTCATTAATTATGAATGCAACCTTACAAAATGAAGCAAACTATTTTGTTTACATGTAAGCATAGAAGTGCTATTTTCTTAGCAGACATTTTTTCATTGTTATAGATGATCAGTCAAAATGGTAAAGCAACTAGTGATCAAGAAGTTTTTCTTTTTGAAATTTTACGTCTTTGGAAATCCGCTCTAAAAGCATGCATGACAGTTGATGATAAAAAGATGGAAAGTACACGTGATTGTGCATTTACTGTAAGTAATCTGTTTATACCTCAAAATATTTTTCAGAGAAACAATATCGCTACTTTAAATTTTAATGACTAATAGTTATTCATTTACCACAATACTTTAAATTAATCATTCTAAAGCACGATATTATTCCATGGAGTCGTTAGCTGTTCATTTGAGTTGTGTAGAATTTCTTGTTGCAGTCCTTAAATTGAGTGGGATCAATGATTGAAAAAACTGACTAATGGCCTAAAGTTGAGCATTTTAGTCCATATCTATTTATCCTTTATCCAGCTCTAGATCTCAAAAAACTTTAAAACTCAGCATTTCCGCTTTTTGGTTCACTTCGTTTCAACACATTTCATCATATTTCCACTTCTCTGACTTCACAAAATTGAACACCTTGGACATGTGGGTCTGTCTGAGAGATTTACTATGCCTATCTGTCTAACATTAGAATAACTTAAAATACTTGTCTTTGCAAAACAAAGTTTAGAGAGAGTTAGACTCCACACCATAATTATATTTATTTTCGAATTTCATATCTGACTGACGTATTATTTAGTATTAAACAACAGATTGAAAATAATACCTATGCCATCGAATTACTTTCATAATTGATATGTTTATTTAGCGTCCGTATAAATATTTACTTAATATCTAATGACCTATTACAGGAAACTAGTAGGCTAAAATCAACGAATGATCTAAATAAAAAAAACTGAACTATGATGAAGAAATAAGAATTTCTGTTCAAAATTTTTATTCCCACTGCTGAAGCATTGTAAGTAGTATTTGATAAGTTAAATTTGCCTAGATTATTTAAACATCGGAAGTGTATTCCTTCTTAGTTAGTCAGTTAGGTCAATAATAGTCACTAGACTTAACTCATCAATAATATCATTTGATGCAATTGGCACATACTTATCGTATCTTGGCAATACAATTGTTCAAACTCCACATATAACCTTGATCAACTAATAATAACAGTTGATAAGTAAATATTATTTTGTGTTGTGGTTTATTGTTCTAAAGGTTCTTACTTTGTTCAGTTGGTAAACTTCCAAACGTTAGTATATTTCAGCTGTGGAAAAATACCATAACCAGAATAAAGTTTTCTAAAACAATATTTGAGTGAAGTTATTTTTTAAAAAATGTATCCGAATCCCCTTGCTATTTCCAAACCGTACATATTGTGAAAGATTTGGCAGCACAAATTTTGTATAGAAAAGTGTGACAAGACCACTAGAACTACAAGTTTGAAGCAAATTGCAAATACAAAAATAAGTCAAATTTACTTCTGGTTGAAATTAGAAAAACTCGGAATCAGAGCATCTCTAAGTACATAGCTTTCACTTCACGTGTTTCATTGTAATGAGTATAGTGGAATTTATCTCCCTCAGTAACCTGCTCAAGTTTTGTTTAGTCAGCTTGAAATCATATTTTCAGTGTAAAAACTAATATTATTAGAATATCTAGAGAGTCTTGTGGTTTGGTATCTGATGGTTGAACGTCAGGTTCTTAAACCACCAAGTTACCATCGCTCTCTCCTTATTGTTTCATTTCATTGGAGATAAATATGACTTAATCAAGAGCCTAATTTTTTACATAATTTCTGTTAAAATAGTTTAACTTGAAAGTTTAAGCTTTGGATAATGTCACTGGAGTTCGAAAGCGTTTTCTTTAGTTATTACGCAGTATGTGCTTGACTTTTCTCAGTTCGTTTATTGAATTATAGCATAAATGAAGTTTATAACCTTGCTGTTAGAACATTCCAACCAAGTCATTTATACCACCTTTTCAAGAAGATATAATAATTCCTAAATTGATTATTTGAATATATCATGATTAAATGTATGCGTACTGGGAATCGCAAACGACCACTCGGTTTTAATTTTTCTAATTTTACTAATCAGGATTCTCTGTCTTGAAAAACCCCTTTCATTTGTCTACATTAGGCTACTATTAAAGTCGTCAAAACTTTATTACTTAAGAGCATACCCCTAGATGTCTGTGACACCAGAGGGTTTAGGTTATTTCTGTGGTCTCAGTCATAATTAATATCCAAGAGAACCAGCGATGCAACTGAAATCAGTAACTGCTCACCATGTGTACGGATTTCTGTCCTGTTTTTCACCTGAAGTACGATGCTACTAGTTAAATGTGTGACACACACTAACAGTTATTGCAAAACGATACCGACTTAGGCCTCTGTGTCTATCGGAAATCGGTCGCTTGAAAATCTCTCCTTGACGCAGAACGACTGGTTTGTGAGGTGGTCAAGAGCAGTTGCCGCCATCACTGGCTAGCAAGTTTCTTGAAGTGTTAACTTTGTCAAATGAAAATGGGCATAGCTTATTGCATTTTCGTGCCTCCTGTACTTCAAATGACACCAATACATCCATTTGCTAGACTCTAGTGTGTGTGAGCGTACTTTTCTATTTGAAAAGGACCAGGTACATTTTATATGAAGATTGAATAGCATTGCTCACAAGGAATCAAGTTTCAAAATCAAACCACCTATCTATTGCTGCTATACCGGCACTACTAGTCTATGGTGTTGATTGCAGCGTGTCGATACTGCTGGTTTCCAGACGCGCTTCTTTCATTCCAATGGCCATACGCGCTAGGCCATCTAAGCTCAGGGTTTGTGCTGAAACGCTCAATATCTGTTATGTTTTACAGTGACTTCTGTGGTCACACCTGTTTAGAGACTCCTTCATCTAGTTAGTACGTTCCCACTAACTGCATCATGTATCTAGGCTATCCTGATAGTTTACCGTCAAATAGATCACAAGCCATTAGTAATTGTTGTATTCTCTTTTTTTGCCAGAAACTGTAGTATATCGATTTATCTCTATCTTTAGCTTGCTAAATAGTGTTTTTCCAGATACCTGATCAATGAGATTCTCGAACCCAACGGACCGACCACATATGCATAGTGTCTGGTTTCACGAAGTTTGAAAAGGTAATTCCGCAGTTGTGAGATGAAATCGATAGATTGACGATCGGTTATTGTAATATATATTGATCGAACTAATGATTGAAACACCAACTAAAATATGAATGACAAGTGTATTAAAACCTAGTTATCTGGCAGTGGTTAGTAAGAAACAACAAAAGCATATTCAACAGCAAATGCGTTGAATAGATAGTAATCAATATCTTACTCAAAGCATACGAGAAAGTTTTACAAGACAACTTAAGCATTATTTTGTAGTCCATAACCACAATTGTGAAGTGCTAGTGAAATTCTGGAAGTTATAAATAACAGAAAAAATTATTTACAAATTAGGCCCAAATTGTTCGTATCTACGTGTTCACGAAATTATGACAACTATTTCGAAGTCGGAGTATTTTGAGTTGATGAATGCCTAAAATATAATATATGAACATCCTGAGTTTCTGTATTACCTTCTAGCGAGTTATGAGTAGTGTATTAAAAAGTCAAAGTTGATCTACAGAATATAATTTGTTTATCTATTTATACTTTTACTAAACAATTTATTTTGCGGGTCGGTCAAGAAATATAACATAATTACCTGTAATTGGATCTCTAAAAAGGAAAGAGTATAGCTTTGAAAGAGTAACATAATTTCACACATTTATTGGCATCAAGAATGGATTAACGATTTTACGGGATAAATTCATTTTAGAAATAAATCTTGTCTCCAACAATCACCTTATTTAAAATTTGTTCCTATAAATTTCTAGAAACTACCGTACACTCAGGATTGTTACAAGTTTAAATTTGTTGTTAATGTGCTGTGTTATAAACCATATTTGCTATGTGAATATCAACAGCAACATGTGATTGAATGAAAACTATTATAAAGTACTAATCAGTCTATTTTCAAGCTGATTATTTGTTTTAAGAGAAAAAAAAGTAAACTAGAGCAGTTTTTTTGCAGTCGGAAATAATGCTGTAAAATCATCTTTATTTTTCTAATTTATTCATCTCGTTTGGTGAAGATACAATTGGTTTCTCTTTATTCTATTAGGTTTTAGTTGATGTTATGCATGTCTGCCTAGTTGAATACTTTACAAAATATTCGAAGTTCCTCATGGAATTGTCTTCATCTGTCTGGCCACTCTATTTTGTGCGTATTTTACGCACCGTTTATAAACTTGTACATAAATCCGATCATATGTGGGTCAATACTTTACATTCTATTGTTAACACACTTATATACGAACTGTTGTGTTCAAACTCATATCCACGAAGGTCTCATATAGAGATCTCTAATTCCACAGCTTTTTGTGGTTGTCTAACTGCTCACATAGTACACACCATAAAAGCTCAGAAAATTACACCAGATGAGATATCTCTACTTCACCCAGATGTCTTTTTATCTCTGCGCATTATTATTCTTTGTGGTCTTGAAAGTGCTTTAAAATTAGGTGAGTTTGTTAGTTTTAAATAATAATCAAATTCTCTCTTGCTTTGTTGAGTATACTGCATTAAAACATGTACAGTGATGGATATTTGATATAGTCCGGACTGTAGACAGTTTTCTTTTTCTATACTTCGGTTATTATTAGCTTCTATTATTTACCTGGTTAATATCCTCAGCATATCACTGATCGGTATAGATTAAGCTGGCTTCATCATCTCCACCAAGTATATAGCATTTCTTATACATGAACATTTCTGTTTCTTCCTGATGAGCACTTTTAATTTAGTCTAGCCGCTATATAAACTTTTCAAATCACAGCATAGCACACTACAAGTTCTCAGACAACAGTAGTCGAAGACTTTCTGAAACGTGGGTCACGTTGCAGTCACGCATATACTAAATGTATGGTAGAATCAATGAGAATGAACACATTTGTGCGCTAATCAATTTCGAAAAATTCCTGGATAGTAAAACGTGCAGTTTCAAGTTTTTACATCCGCCTGTTGAGTGAGATCTCAGAGATTATGAAATTGAAGCACTTAGTACCCAATTATCCTAATTTTCCCGATTTCATTGTGATCACTTCCTGCGTTCTTGGTTAAATAGTAATAATCAAACAATAAACAATACAACTTAAGTTCATTTCTCAATATTCTGATTAATGCTTTGTTCGTTTAGCGAAGAGCTTGTATCTAACTTTACGTTGAAAGGCTGACCAACTTTATCCCGAAGTTTTTTTGTTTAAAAACTCTTTTATTACAAGTAAACTGTTATTGTCTATCACCTATATAGACTTAACGGCATTCTCTTTTGATTTCACGTCAAGATTTCAAGCATGGAATTACTCTATTTTTCTAATGAATTGTGTTAGACTTACTGGCAATATGGATTTTGTTGTAGGACTTTCAGTGGAAAAAAGAATATCTATTGTAAAGAAACACATTGATAAATTTAGTCGTTATATGAAATAACACCCATTTAATTTTAGATCCTAATGATCAACAACTGTGGTCAATAATAAGCTCTGTCCATGGATTGATATTGGGTATTGAGTTGGATGAATCAAACACGGAACATAGCTATGAAAATTCAATCATTACCTTATTTTCTGAGGATGATGCTCAACTTTTCCGATTATTGGACCTATGGATACAAATCGAAGACCATATCAGATCCACAGAGTGAGATCGATGTTTTTACATTTTCTCAGGTTTTTCCTAATCAAATTGCATTTAGTGCGACGCGATCACAGAATGCACTGCCGTAGACAAATGTAACTGAAAACCAATTAGTAACATTATAGACGAATTTTTCAGAGGTTAAATATTATCTTTCTGGGATGTAAGCTCAGTTGTCTCTACACAAGACTAACTCCCATTTGATAACGGATTGGAAATCGTGTTTGGGCATTTTACATGTGTGACTCACAAATTACTGGATTCAATCTTATTAGGTTCATCCTTGTCATTTATTCAACCATGTAGCATAATGACATATGGTTAAGGGAAATGCTTAATCGTACGCCCCTATGTAAATGGCTTTACTGGGGAAGCTGAACAAATAAATGCAATCAGATACAAAGAATTCAGGAAATCTTCCTTTGTTCCTCTACCATTGCAAAATATAATATTTTACTAGACTGTGATTGACGTTCTCTGCTACCCTTCTTAACCATTGTGCTTATATCACAAGTAACATCGTTTTCGAACCGTAGTTCCAAAAATAAAGACTTTCGGGACATTCATTATAGTCGATTTGATTTGTATCTAGTTGACGTGTTTGCTGATGAATTTAGTAGGATATCTATTCCTAATAAGTAAGTTACGGATACTACTAGGTTCTTCCCTAATGGTGTCGTCGTGACTAGTAAAGTTAACAGTGATTTACTAAGTTTCTGTTGTATTTATTTGGTACTAAACTGTAGAAATATGGTTTATTGTGCATTTGATGATTTTTTACATATACTTACTTACATATACTTATTTTTCATAAGGTTTTAAAAAACGAAATACCATTATTTATTTCTTCGCCTAAAATGAACTTGATTTCTGCAGAAATGTTGCCAAGTTAAGTTATCCTCATCGATGTCGTTTCTTACTACAATGTAAGTATCATCAGTAAAAAGACACTCAAGTGTTAGTTCCATAGTCGTATCTATAAGCAGTTCACTCTGGTCTTGCAAGGTATGGACCTTAATTACGGCCTCACATTTGTACTATCTGATTATCTAAAATACTCCCCGTTATGTTAAGAATGGGCATTTATTGTAAATTGTAATGTAGTTAATTATCGGATGTTATTTGTGAAGTCACAATATTATCATTTGACATCACGACTTGACTGGGACTACACCATTTTTGTCAAACTTACGTATGGTTGTAAAACCAATGAATCTAACTTAAGCGAAATAATTATTCCTTCTTTTCTTTTCTCCCACTTTATCCTTAATGCCTTATTCTGTCCACAATATTTAACCTTTTAAAATTTCACTTGTTAGTTATGAAGAGAACCCAGTAGATACTTATTATCATTAAGCATAAGTCAAACATTGCTCTGATGATTCACTCTTACTAGTTAATCTAATCCGAATAGATTATTAAATGATATTTTTATGGCAAAGAAAATATTGTTTTATTATGTTTAGTGGTCGTGTAGCGCATGTTGTTGTTTGTTGAGTTTTCTACTGATGTATAATATATCAATCAACAAGTTTTGCAGTGTAATCGTTGATGTATAGTGCGTATATAGAGTAGTCAGGAGGTACATGTATTTATTGAATATTATTACAGTGCATTTACAGTCCTTCAGAAATCCAAATCATGATTTTATTTGTTTCCATAATAAGTGTAATATACATATCACCATTTACAATTTAACGGCAATAGATATATAAATACTACCACACCCAAAGTTCAGTTTCATTTGTTAAATCCTACTTTCCGTTCCTTAGGTTGTATCAAGAAACCTCTCTCTCTGCAGTTCCCAATGCCCACTGGTTGTTTGCTTGTTTGGCGAAATCTGTCGGCTTTTCGTCTTATTTGTTCGTTGACTGGTTGGTATCTCCTGAAACTACCTGTTTATCTTATTTAGTGCACTACTTGAGAAGATTGAGCACTGAAGATGAGCTTATTCGCAACTCAAATAAACTTATTAAAAGTGAAGTATTAGCACGTTCCTGGCCTATACAATCCCTTATAAACATGTTGAGTCAAATTTCGAAAAGTCTTGTAACCTTGGATCAACACAATGGGATCGCATTCTGCCCTGCACCGCTTATCAATCGCATCAATCGTTCTTTATCTGTCTTAAACAGTGTTAACTTAGCACAAAATATTTCATATAAATCTAGTGTCTAACGCTTTTGATTAACTTATTACTACACGTTCAGTTTCATAAACTTATCATCTGTAGTCATTAAAATAACCTGGGTCAACATCTTAGATCTATCAGTTGTATAATTCTTAAGGACAAGTTAGTGATATGCTTGGAACTATTACGAGTTCACTTTAGTCGGTAAACGAGAGCGAAGACAAATGATCCAGTGAAACGATAGGTTATTCTAATTCGAGCGTCCCAAAACCCCACTAAGTAGAGGAAGACGTCTTTACAAGACGTAGAGAGTGTATCCTGCAAGCATTCAGAAAATAGGTTGACAAACACATAAATCGATTTTATTTATACATGATAGAAACATCCTTTTGAGAGCTACAAGAATAGCGTGCTAAAATAACACACCGCCCAATTACAGTAAAGGCTTTTCCTGATGGGAAACGTAATCTCAAGGTCAACTGATCAGCCCATGCTCGGAAAGTATGGTTGCTATGGGGCTCAAGGTATTTACTTAAGCAACAGTAATCAATTTAATAAATATCATGCAATCTACCTCAGTGAGCGAAAGGTTTTCTGGCGCTTTCCCGTATATCGGTATCGTAGAACAACGGAAACCATTAGCATTTGGCAATTGTTTAATGACCGAAGGACAACTTGTCTCTATGCATACTTCATATATTTTTTTTCAGACAGATAGACATTACTTCTTAACAAGTACATTAATGCAATATGCTTCGTCACATCACAACCATTCTGGCCCGAACATGAGGATAGGAATCTCACTGACGTATTCAAGAAATAACTAACTTCGATACCTAGTGGAGCACTGATTTCTTTTCTGATATAGCTGTGAAAGCAATAATATTCATAATCAACTTACACTAGACCAGTGGATTTCGGTAGTCTAGTAAATCAAAGGACGCTTTACAATTAACTACTCGTTGCGGATAAGGTGTGGAACAAAAGTGACTTAAAAGTGGAATGACACAAGACTACCCAGTACGTCACAAGTGATGGCAACGAAATAAAAAGAAATACGGAGCTGTCTATGCGAACCATGTAAACAGGTTCAATAAGTTGACAAGTAACGGAGCTGTTTTCGGAAAACTTGAGACAGTAATCTACTCATGAAACGGCTGATTAGGAAACCGAGTGTTACTTTAATGTATAAATACGCACTATCTGTAAGCCTTCATAATTCCGACCCCGTTTCTCCTACCTACCTCTTCTGTACTCGACCCAATAAACAACTCTATCCCACGGTGTTGCGTTCTGATATATAGTAGATTTGGAAATAGCATTTTGGGTCGTATTGGATATTTGAATTGGACGCCGCTAGGATTGAACAGCTATACGTAGCAGTGTTACAGCAGTCGTTCAAGGTCTCTAACCATTGGTGACTTTCGTCTCGTGGACCCCAACCAGGTAGCCTACATCTACCAACATGGCTCAATCCACTTGTCAGTGACTTCATGGATTTCCGCCATGTTTTGGTTTGACCGCCCCTAGCTTTCGTCCAACCTATTCCTACACCACAAGACATGGCTCGTCGCAGCAGTCGGTAGTCTCAACCACCTCAACTGATGAAGTTTCAGTACTTCATCTACTGATTTGCCATTCCTACCTAGAACTCGTTTCCTAGTGACAGCATTGCTTATACGGTTGTCCAAGGATACACGAGCAATGCTTCGGAGGGACCGATGATCGAAGACTAGTAAACTGCGAAAGTCCTCTACTCTTAACGGCCATGTTTCGCATCCGTATAGTAGGACAGAGCGAACTGCTGCGCAGTACACTCGTCCTTTGGATAGCAAGCGGATATCTCGCCTGCGCCTAAATTGACGCAGGTTGGCAAAAGCCAATCGAGCTTTCTGTATCCGAGCTGAGATTTAGTCAGTCACCAGGCAATCAGCACTGATGCGACTCCCCAGATAAGTGAAGCGGTCTACAGGTTCGACTACTTCACTCCCTATCACTAGTTCAGGTACCGATGCAACCCAGACTGGAAGCGACATTCTGCATTTTGAGAGTGAAAACCGCATTCCGTGGATGCTCGCAATGTTGCTTGGGGTATTCATCAGCATTTTCTAGGTCAGTAAGCGATTTTCCTGGTCGAAAGTCGGACGAGGATAAGATTATAACTGGCAGCATGTCTACGACAAAATTAAACCAGAATGGGGAAAGTGGACATCTCTGACGGACACCACTTGATGACAGTTTGCCATAGACTCACCCGACCAGTGGTGTTCGAGAAGAGCTTGTACTTCTATGGTACACCTGTGAATGACAGACACTGCCAAAGAACCTCACGATCCACTGGGTCAAATGCCCCCTTAATGTCCAGGAAAACAACTATTGTAGGACGCCTTGATGTGTGTGTTTTCCAGGACCTTTCAAAGTGTGAAGATGTGGTCCACACAGCCACGTCCAGGTCTGAAACCAGCCTGGTTTTCTCGAATCTGCTATTCACGAGCACTAGTTAGGTGTCTAAGTATAATCGAGGCTAACAATTTAGAAACTATATTAGTTAGACTGATTCCCCTGTGATTGCCACAAGAAGACTTGTTCTTTCTTATAAATTGGGACAACGGCGGATTGAGACCAGTCGGATGGGATTGTGTCCAGTTCCCAGGTTATACCTAAGATCTCAGTCAATCTAGCTGCTGAAACTGGAACACTATCTCAGGGGTCAATCTATCAGGCGTCGCTCTCGCTTCAGATTTCCTATGGCCTTTTCAACTTCATATAGGTTCGGAGGACTTACGTCGACTTGCCATTCAGAATGACTGGAGATCGTGGGTAACCGACGCGTGGCTGAAGGCCAGTTGAACTGATCCGTAAAGTGTTCTGCAAATCGATCCAATCTCCTGGGTTGAGAATAATTAACAGTCCCATCATTTAAGTCGGAAAAGTTGTCTACTGTTGCCTATCGCCGCTGCCTTTTCCATCTCTCTCGCTTTCGCCACCCACTGTTCGCGATCATTGCGTAGGCTTTTTATCGGCCTGCGCTGACTTCATTCTTCATCATGTTCAAAGCCAGGTGCGATGAGTTTTCGAGCGTCTATCAGCTCAGTAGATGCTACTGAGGTCCACGTCTTCACTATAGCCTTATGGTTTACCTTACTGGCAAATATCACTACTGTTTCCACAGCCTTTTCGATATCATTCCAACCTGCTTCCGGATGGGAATCGCTTACATAGTTGCCTAACCATCTTTCTAGTTGCTCCTGAAATATATTCTCGGCTTCATTATCATTAGGTAAAACCCTAAGAGGCTTTCTTTCCTGCCTCAAACAAATACGCGCTCGCACTAGGGCATGATCCGAGTCTAAACAAGTGTCCCAGAACGAGCGACAGTCCTATATCGAACCTCTCCATCGTTGGCTAATGGCAATGTGATCTAGTTGCGTCCAACGTTGAGACGACTTTGGAGGTCGCCAGGTCAACAGATGTTTTTCCTTATTCCTTAAGTTAGTGTTTGCTAGACATAGGCGGTTATCTGAGCATACTTGCAACAGACGGTCACCATTGTCTGTTCTATGAGCCGCGACACCGTAACATCCACCTAGGTGTCTTCCATTTTCACTTAGTCTACCTACCTGAGCATTTAAGTCACCAGCCATTATTAGCACATCAGAGTGCCGAACGTTTTGGTGGAGGTCCGAAAGCTTTCTGTAAAACTCGTCTTTCACCTCGTCTAAACTGCAGTCAGTGGGGGCATAGGCAGATACGATGAAGAGGCAACGGCGATTGTCCCTATATTTCTGAGTCCTTACTGTCCCGTTCAGTCGGACGGCGCGCAAACAACTATCTACAGGGATCCAGTCTAGGAGCGCTAGTTCTGCCCTAAAACACAATGCTATACCTACGCCAGCGAGACCACGAGAAGCAGCATCAAGGCTACCGGATACTCGAAGAGTAAATCGGGCTGCTTCTTTGTTTTGATAATGTGAAATCAAATTAATGATTTTAATAGGATCCTGTATGTGCGTTTTCGAGACGCAGCTCACATTGATGGTGCGAGATTCTAAAGTCCAAGGTAATGAGGCCTGTTGCCCTATTTGACACAATATTCGGACATTAAATGCTACATGTAATTTAGAACGAAGTTTCAGGAGACCTAGAATGACGTTTCGTTAACTCGCATCGTTTGCATTAGCTGTGCAGGAATTTGAGAAGTTAGTCGTGGGGATAAGAGAGATATTATGGGCTGTAGGTAGGACTTGATTCCGACCGATTTGGTCTCGCGTGCTTTTAGGGGTATGAGGGCGGTTGTCGCTTCCCGGGTGCCTACAACGTTGAAGGTTGTTTCTTGAGGGAACTGAAAAAGAAGGTAGATTAGTGTTGGTCTTAGAGACCAGGGAGCGTGACCGCAGAGCCCAAAGGACAACCGCTTGAGGCCGGTCACGCACAATCTTTTTAATGAAGGTTATTTTAGTATTAGCTCGGCTCTTTAAAGCCCTTAGTGGGCCCCACTGCAACTCTACTTTTTATCTTCCTTTTTAGATTTTTTATTGATTCTGAAATAGAACGATAGTTGCAACATTCGACAGACCGCAAAAAGACAGTCATATAGTGCATTTAAAGCTTCTGAATTGGTAGAGCATAACAGTTTCCTCAACTTAACATAGGAATACCATAAGCATTAGCATAACTTGTGGCTTTTGAAAACATTATTGCGAACCTGTAACTTTTAGATCTTATGTTTTCGTGAAGCAGTTCATAACTGTGCACACAGTATATATGAGTCTCATACGGTGTAAATCGATGGTCAGTCAGCTACAATGTAAGACAGTACGTACGTACGTCAGTTCAAGTTGCTATAATACATTAGCATTGAGATGCGATTGTCGATTCAAATCCCATGGACGTAGATGGAGAAGTATACACGGTAATCGAGAATATTAGGGTTCAAGGATGGTATTCATGAAGTATAATCCAGTGAAATAAATGTAAGAGGAAATGAGGAATCCAGAAGATTCGAATTTGGGAGAACATAGAGGGCGGATGTTTTTGTGCCATTGAAAACGATTTTGAGTCTCCAACCACCGGTTACAATTGTCTCGTGTGCCCAAACCAGGTAGTTAACAGCTACTGACATGGCTTGGCCAAATTTTTGATATTCTGATAGATTTGTGCCATGTTTTGTTCTGGCCGCTCCTAGCTTTCTTCTAACCTTCCCCCTACACCGCAAAACTTGGATCGTTGAGGCAGTCGATGGTCAGGCATACGTAACACCTGTCCCAACCACCTTAATTGTTGAAGTTTCACCACTCCAATTTTTACCATCTCTACCTAGTACTCTTTCCCTAACCTCAGCATTTTTTACTCGATGGTCGCAGTATATACGAGCAATGCGTCGAACACAGCGATGGTCGGATACTATTAACGTACGAATATCCCCTCTTCTTCCTGACGGTAGCTGCAACTCGAGCTTTGGGGGCTAAGTCGTGCAGCTGACTGTAATGTGACAGCAGGATAGTGTTTTACCCGGACAACCAGCATTTGCAGCGATGCTGCCTTCTTACAATGAAAGAAGGGATTAGAAAATGTCATACCTCGTCCTTACCTCACGGATTTCCGTATCCGGCGGTAAGGCCTTTTAAAAAAAACGGAGCTAACACTTTGAAAACTTCTCATAAAAAGGCCTACGTGACCGGCCTCTCTTCCTAGGGTCCTGCGTTCACGCTCCCAGGTCTCTAAGACCGGCGCTAATCTACCTTCTTTTTCAGCTTCCTCAAAAAACACCCTTCCATGGTGTGGACAGCCGGGAAGTGACACACACTCATACCCGTAACATCACATGAGACAAAATTGGTTAAAGTCAAATCTTTAACATTTCTCTTATCTCCACGATTAAACCTCACATTCCTTTATCACTCAACACCGCTCATGTACACGAAACGTTATTCCTAGTCCCCTGAAACCCCGCCCTAAACAACATGTTGGAGCTTTTAAAGTTCGAACCTTGTGTCAAATAGGACAACAGGTTAGGACTCTGGTATACCGTGACATCGGTGCATGTTCGCGCCTGCGAAACGCGCATACAGGATCCCAACAAAATCATCAATTTGATTCCTCCTTGTGCAGATACAAAATCAACTAGGTTTACGCTCGGGAAAACTGAGACACTCGCCGCTGCCTCTTCGTTTTATCTGCCTAAGCTCCTACTGACTGCAGTTCAAATGAAGTAAAAGACGAGTTTTACATAAAGCTTTTAGATCTCAAAAAGTTCGGCGGTCTGATATAGTAATAGTGGCTGGTGAATTTAATGTATGATGAATTTAAAGTAGGTAGACTAAGTAAAAAGGAAAGTTAATTGGGTGGATATTATGGTGGCGCGGCTAATAGAACAGATAACGGCGATCGTCTGTTACAGCTGTTCTCAGATAACCGCCTATTTGTAGCAAGTACTATTTTTAAGCATAGGAAAACACACCTTTTGACATGGTGATCCCCAAAGTCATCCCAACGCTGCACCAAACTAGATCACATTGCTATCAGCCACCGATGGAGGGGTTGGATAGAGGACTGTCGCTCGTTCTGGGGCCCATGTTTAGATTCAGATCATGCTCTAGTGCGAGCGTGTATTTGCTTGTGACTTACTGGACGCAGGAAAGACACCTCAAGTAAACCTCTTAGGGTTCTATTTGATGTTAGCAAAACTAAGAATATATTTCAGGAACTAGAAAAACATTTAGACTGCAATGTAAGTAATGCTCACCCTGAGGTAGCTCGGAATGTCATTAAAAAAGCTGTGGAAACAGCAGTGATATGTGCTAGTAAGGTAAACCATAAGGCTAGGAATAAGCCGTGGATTTCAGTAGCATCTACTGAGCTGATAGACGCTCGAAAACTCATCCCACCTGGCTTTGAACATGATGAAGAATGAAGTCAGCTTAAGCGCAGGCTGATGAAACGCCTACACAATGATCGCGAACAGTGCTGAGTGGCGAAAGCGAGAGAGATAGAAAAGCCAGCGGCGATAGGTAACAGCAGATAACTGTTGCGCCCAATTAGAGAAACCGGTATAAGAAATCAATCTGTTAGCGAAACTATTTCAGAAAAGTAGGGGCCTTTGTTTCATTCTCAATCGAGGAGATTAGAACGATGCGCAGAACACTTAAGGGATCAGTTCAACAGGTCTTCAGCCACACTTCGGTTACCCACGATCTCCAGTCATCCTGAATAGCAAATCAATATAAGTCCTCCGAGTTTAAAAAGTTATAAGAAATCTGAAGCGAGGGTGAGCTTCAAGACCTGACAGACCTAGCTCTGAGATTTTTAAGGATGATGGTCCAGTTTTAGCTGTTGGATAAGTTAGCCAGTAGACACTCAACTACTTAACTCCTAATCACTAGTTCGGGTGCATTTGACGGGAGAGAGTTGCAACCGGACCATGTGTGCATCGTTGCCTGATGTGGTGGGATTTTGAAATTTACCGGTGTCTTCACCAAACAGAACTATCATCAGCATATTCTGAATGTATGTATATCTTGGCACAAGTTCGACCTTAGAGAATTCGGTCGACGAGTGTTATTATTGGGATTAACGAAATCAAAATTAAAATCGGTTTATCTTGGATGTCCTACAGCGAGCTGTCATTCAGAAGTTAGATCCAGGAACACTGATTAGCTTTCATTGTTATGGGAATAAGAGTTGTTGTTTGTCACATGCGATTTAGTTTTCTTCCATAGTGCATGTGAAATGGCACTATCTTGCTACTAAATCTAGCCAGAACCACATTATCTGCATCATAAATATGACAAGGTTTATAAATTCATTTCCGATAACTAATTTGATACACGGTTTTGTACATATCAAATACTGAGTAATAGATAACCCCGTCATAAAACTTAGACGAATCTGAGATATATGCGAAACTTATTTATTTACCAGCGATAAAATAAGTCGAGCTATAAAATGGACATATTATTTGCCACATTTACAATCAGATATTTGGGTTACGAAATAATGTGTTAGCCATACGATTTTCCGCATCAAAAAATTAACAAATTTAAAAAGAAAGTGCAAGTGACGAATGAGCCGCAATCCACCATTACTGTGGAAATAACGTCAAATGACCATTTTAGATAAATACAACAGACTGTAGGGAAGTAACATACACTTAAAGTTAGAGAAAAAGGCCAAACGCCGTTGCCTCACAGCACTTTGATTCGAAATGCAAAAATAAGTTTATTTCTTCATACTCAACGTATTAGTGAGCCAATCTAAACCCTCGAACAAACCGCTACCGTTAGTTGCACATGTTGCTTGAATATACCAATGACGATTACGCAATTCGTGCAGCCCCAATTTCTCTGTAATGTCAGCAGCAGCCATAGCTTGTGGAAGATCCTGGAAATCGTAATACATTTTAAAATCCAGACAATACCTGTTTATTTGCGAAAACCAAAAGAACTGCATCTCGCAACTCATCTTCACTCAACATACGACGCAACTCGTCTTTTGCTTCCCTAATACGTTCACTATCATTACTGTCAACCACAAATATTAAGCCTATGGAATAAGTCGCAATTTTAAGCAGTTTTACCTTGAGTGTTTTGGAAATAATGTCTCCATAACGGACGAATTTTATCCTGACCTCCAACATCCCACACCGTGAAACTGATGTTTTTATATTCCACTGTTTCAACATTAAATCCAATTGTAGGGATAGTCGTAACGACCTCTCCAAGCTTCAACCTGTACAAGATCGTTGTCTTGCCAGCAGCATCCAGACCAACCATCAAAATACGAGCCTCCTTTTTCCCTATCAGACGATTGAATAAAGTTGAGAAAAGGGCACCCATTTTAACTGAGAATGGAGTTTTGGTAAGTTGTGATTAAGTTCCAACAAAAACAACCCTACGTCACTGTGGATTGAAAAGACCACAATTTTTCTGTATGGAAGTACGCAGACAAACAAATCAGTCTAACAAAGTTATTTTATATAATCAAATATCATTAGGGTAGTTACTCATCTCCTTGAGGATATGCGATTACCATTTTAGTGAAAGTATTCTGCAGTGTGATAACAGATCCATCCAGCTGCTAAAACTCAGACTTAAAGGTAGTACACAGTCCGAAACCACAAAAACTCAGGGACATATGACAAACGAACATAATTCCGATGTAAGTTCCGTTATCCTGAAATATTCAGCTGAGAGATAAATGTGAACCTGAACACTTCTTGCTCAGCGACCGTAGCACCTCCATTAACAGAGTTAGTTGAAGATTGCTGGGTAAAAGAGATAGTACTCGTAATCTGTTTCTTCTGTTCATTCCTAATAAAAATTACTGTAATGAAGTTGTTTTTTCCTTACAGTCATCAAAGGAAACACTACAACGAACGTGTATTCCACATTACGCCTAAACATCGAGAAATGACTGTAACGTAAACTAGGAGTTCACTTATTCCTGCCAAATTTGACTAGGTTCACAAGTAATAATTATATATGCAATTATATTTTATTGCTGGACAGCAACTTGCTGCTTAAACTGAGGCTAAAGTTCTTTACGTAGCATAAGAAATACTTTGAAAATCTTTCCCAAACATTTTGTTGAACAACTAAGTTATTTTTTAATACCTTTCCTTGTCTTGCATCTCAGTGTCTACTTCGAATTCTCATAATCACAGTATAACGTTTCTCAACCTCTCCTGACTATGTCCATACTATTTTTGCTTTGGTTACTATTTGTTCTTATCACCTAATTTCGCTGGTGTCTGATCATATTCCACTGACAATAATGTTGTTTTTCTGAACTCAAGAATACAGCCTATATCCGTTGGTAATCGTCCTCCTTTAACTCCCTGTTAGAGACAGTCAATCAAATCAATGCAGTTAGTCCTGCTGGAAACACACTGGTACTCACATACCGTACAACTCTTACTTTTATTTCGTTGTCGTACGCTACTGATGTTTTCGATTGTGTACCGCAGGCTTTGACTTTTGAATTATTTAAAATTTTAATATAATTCGTGTTCTTACTTAAATTGGAACAGGTTACATTAAGCACAGAGTTTGTGTTTTGATGTGATTGAATAAAAGTAATCCGAATCGGCTTTGTACTCTTGATAGAAGAATATGGTTCAGTCTCAACGAATGAACTTTAGTTAACTGATTGTTCATTAAAAGTTTGATGTTTGAATTTTTATAGGTAATGAGAAAACAAAGCAGTCAGTAGTTTCAAGGTAACTGGAGCAAAACATCTCTCAAAAATGTGCAAGGCAGATGGACTAGATGTATTTGTAAAGCTGCTAAATGAAGCCCCCGCTGGCACTGATTCCTCAGCAGGCGTGAACTCAATAGCTCCCTGCTTTCACATTATAACCTCAGCGCACGTTTCAACTATATCGAATTCAGAGCTGCAGTTTATTGTATTTTATCTTTCCCTGTAGTAATAAATTCTGCTCGTTGACAAAAAATCTATCTAATTTTTACTTGACATAGGCAGGTGACTCACTAGGTCAGTCAATACTGTTCAACTGTAGCCGGCCGATAAGAACTCACTCTATAACTCTTACGAGTCGTCGCCCAAACATTGCCATTTGCTGCTTAAAATTTAGTGATCATGCATCCATGGCTTGAAAAGCCATCACTCAATGAACGAGAAGGATGGGGTTACCGACTGGCAGATATTGATGGTGAGGTCTGTGACTTCAACCCATCCTTATTTGCGGTGCAAAGCATCCTGTTTGCTTCTAGCTCATTTTTGTTGATGAGGCGACTAGCAGTGTTACTGAAGTCTCTCTTATACGCTTAGTAATTATTGCACTCATGTTTCCAATAATTTGCTGTGATCGTTATCCTGCTAGGCCACCCTGCAATATGCTTACTCAGACAGGTACATTATGATAAAGAGGTTGGTATTTGATGTAGAAATCGATAGACAGTGAAAGATATAATCATCTGCTTTCACAAAATCGACTCTTCTTCAAGAAATTTCAGCCTCAATGTACAGATAAACAAGATCTTGCTTCAATTTCCCTCTGTTTCTTCGGACTCTGTCCGTCTTAATACACATTGCAACCTATTATTCTTAACTGCTGTGCCCCTAATTTGAAGATTGTATCGCCACAACTTATTTTGGTTTTAGTATCCTGTATGAATGTGGTTGTATCAAAATGTTACCGCCTGTGAAACGGCGGAAACTTACTGTTAGAAAAACTCTTGTTATTATTGATCTAACTGCTCAGTCTTCAGCAGAGAATGTAGTAAAATTTCTGATGATTTTATACTGCCGATCACCTAGCATTCTTCATTTGACACACTGTGATTTGAGAAAAATTGTTAGTAATAATAATAATAAAATTATTTCAACTAATAAGTAGTTAAAATACCAAACTCAGCAACCTGTCGTTCGGTACTAAATGGGGAAACCGGAAATATCGCTGTAACACATGCGTCATCACTGAATGAAACTTCAGAGTATTGTGTAAAAAATATAGTGTGAACTTTGCCATCCAGGACGAAAAAACACTTATCATTCCGTCCGCCATCGGTTTTGGTGGTCGTCGTTTCAGTATGATGTAAAAGATCTCGAAACTATTAACACATGTTGCTCTATAAAATAATCTCAACCGTCACCCCTTTCACCGTCAATCCCGATTACAACAGAAGGGCCACATCGGCGAGTCGGTACTTATATCTTGGGGCCACTGACAATAACGAAAACCGGAAATCACTACATAGTGGTTATGGTGAGTTATTTCACTAAATGATTTCAATTACTACTTATCCTGGAGTAAGATTCATTGCTCACTGTGTTTCTCATTGCTACGCTCCATTCTCATTTCATTCCTACTAGGGTCCAGCCACCCTATCACTCAACTATTCCAGCTGTTGGGAATCCCAAAAATGCACACTACTGTTTTCCACCTAGATGGAGATAGTGTAGTAACGAAGACAAACAGAAATATTTAAGCCCTTCTACGATTATCTGTCTCTAAGTCTTCTGCTGGAGTTCGGATGATATAGTGCGTCATTATCTTCTAGCTAATCACGCGTCAGTACTAGTGTCCATGTGATCCTAACATGCTATCTTACTTTTCGAGCATGAATTACACCTACAAGTTTAGATACAAACACTTTTATTGTCATACGAAGTGCCAGTACATGTGCAGTGCATAAATAATCTTTGCAACGTGTGTGTAATATTAGAACTTGCGTCTAGTCACTACCTCGCGACACCACCAAAAACATGCTCTGAATTCCATCACCCCTATCAGGGCTCACACGAAATTGTCTTCATCTGCTTCCACAATATTTTCGCGACCTTGAATTGGTGTCGTAAATCTGCAGCATAAGCAGTTGAAGTCAGATGGAATGAAATCCATTCCGGTGCTTAATTTTCCGATTCCCCGTCTGAAACGAGGTTTAACGAGACTTTCACGGCACTTGACGCTGATGACAGTGTAGTGAAAGAGAACACAGGTGAGGGCAACCGAATTGTATTTATCGCAAATTACAGAGTTATTTGGCAAAATATGAAAACCAGATCGTAAACCGTTAATTTGCAAAACATCAACCCATCATCAATCCATTGTCTGACATTTCACTGTTCATGCGTTTCATACAAATTCCATTGTGTTCCCACTCTTCCTTTATTCAATTTTCGCCATCTTTTGCTGCCAGACATTACGTTTTCACTCGCGTCATATACTACTCATAAGTAGCGCGCACCACAATAGCACCTTACCAAGATAAGGCGTGGTGTATCAGTGTTTGAATCACTGTGTTTGCTGTTCTTAATGTGAATCTGTCCCTTTTTACCGCGAAGCGATTAAGGATTAATGTGCAGGAGAAGAGGAACCATCTCTGCGTCAACTAAACTTATAGAATGATTCACGAGACTGCTTTTTTAAATAAGCTTTCTTTTTCACATTGAAAGTGCATGATTCGGCTTTAAAGTATACACTGTTAGATACAATTCTGTCTTCCCATATTGTAGATTCCTTGAATAAAGTTTGTATATTGTGGTTTTAGGCCTTTTCTGTCTGTCAATAAATGCTGACAACACATGTGAAACCGAAATATAGGCACACTACGTAAGTAACTCTTTAAACTTAGCAGTGTTCATTAAAAATATATTGCTCATCAACAGTAACGAATATCTACAAAGTTGATTATTCTGGATAAACAGTGAGCATATTATTTATTAATTACTGAAATATCAGGGGGACACGAAATGAAAGGTTTAGTCCATAGTGGGAGTTCATTCTTCTCTCCACATTATAAAGTACAATATTATACAAATCGTTGTAGAACATGAATAATTTCAAAATTTCGGTTTAAGGTGACCCAATAGTTTTAAAAATGAACGTTGTATTACGATACTAGTTTTCAGTAGCTTAATGAACTCCAATAAAATTATCCGCTTCATTACAAAAATGCTACAAATTCATTGAAATCAAGAAACAGCATCTTGAATCTTTCGGATGACGGCCTTCGTGGTTCTCCAAATTTCTGTTAATTACTGTACAACTGATCTAATATATGTGTTGAAAAGTGTGACTTTGATGTTCGTCAATAGTTGTTTTTAGTTGCCCTTCCCTTCTAATCCGTGTCTTAGCGTCTGCATCAGATCCATGTGTTTATCAATGGTATCGACGAGGTATGTGAAGGTTTCCACATAGTCTAGAACTTTCCCACCAAGTGATTTGGTCGGTGCATGTTGCTTCGTATTTAAAGAACTTGCCATTTCCCTTGTGTATATTGAGATCTACTGTTGCAGAGGCTGCTGCTACGGTGACTGTTCTCACCTGCATTTGTCGCTGTGTGTGGAATAGAGGAGCCAGGTGATCTGCCAATTCCAAGTCGCCTAGCTGCATCCTAGTTGTCTACTGTGTCTCTTGCTTCCCCTGAGATTTTGACCACTTCAAGATACAGTCAACCACCAGAAGGAAGAGGAAGTGTAAGAGTAAGCAGCCTTGTCTGATACCAGTGAGTCTGTGAACTGTCTTCCGTGCACGATTTTGCAGTGTAGTCTGTCATAAGGATTCTGTATGATGTTGACTATCTTCTCAGGTACACCGTCGTGCC